CGAAGCTTGCGAAGTGATGTGGGTTGGGGAAACTCGCGGATTGCCCGGACTTTGTCTGCGAGTGGTAAGATGCCCCTTGACGTAACGCGATGGCCCAGAAAGTCCAGCGCATCAACGCCGAAAACGCACTTCTTCGCGTTGATGACGAGACCGTACTCCTGCAGCCGCTCGAACAACAGTCGCAAGTGTTGCTCGTGTTCTTCCGCAGAGGTGCTGGCCACGAGGATATCGTCAACGTACGTGAAAATGAAGTGAAGTCCTCTGGTGACTTCATTGATAAGGCGTTGGAACGTCTGCGCGGAGTTTCGCAGGGCAAAGGGCATCCTTACGTATTCGAAAAGTCCGAACGGAGTAGTGATGGCAGTCTTGGCCACGTCCGCTGGCTCTACGGGAATCTGGTGGTAGGCCTTTATCAAGTCTACCTTGCTGTAGATGTTGGTACCAGCAAGCCCAGCGGAGAAATCGTGAATGTTCGGCAAAGGGTAACGATCAGGTACCGTGCGTGCATTCAAGGCTCGATAATCTCCGCATAGTCTCCAGTCATTCGGGTCCTTTTTCGGGACCATATGTAGTGGCGACGCCCAGTTGCTGGAAGACGGGCGGACGAATCCGAGCTCCAGCATATGTTCGAACTCTCGACGCGCGATGTTTAGTCGCTCGCCAAATAGGCGGCGAGGACGCGCGGAGATGGGCGGGCCACTGGTGATGATGTGATGTGTCACACCGTGCTTGGTTGGTACCTCCGTATTGCAGGGCCGGGTTATGGCAGGGTATTCTGTGAGGAGGGCTTCGTACCTCTACGTCGTCGCCAGGGGACGCATCGGGGAAGCGTTGAATGACGACAGGATACCCTGGATGGTCAAGGATGTGGTGGCATCGGTGAGGCTTCTGCCACGGATGTTGACGGCAAGGCCAAAGTTTGCCAGGAAGTCCGCTCCCAGTATGGCTTGACGGAGATCCGCGACAACGAAGACCCGCCGGAAAAGTCGCCTTAGTCCTATGTCGATGGTTAGGGATCTCTGGCCAAAAGTGGCAATTGCCGAGCTGTTGACGGCTCGTAGGGGCGCGGTATGTTGCACTTGCTGACGGTCAAGTCGTCAGGCAAGACGCTCACCTCAGCCCCGGTGTCCACTAAGAAGCGGTGAACAGAGATTTGGTCAACAACGTAGAAAAGGCGGCTTGCGTGTTGGCCATCGTCACTCGCCGCTGCTAGTGCCGGGCCTCGGTGTTTTCCGACCAGGAGCATGGTTGATGGCAGTGTGTGGCCCGTTCCGCGTAACGCCGGTGGTACCAGCACAGGGCTCTGCTGCTTGACCGCGAGGCTCGTCGCGAGGATGAACGGGCGTGAGGGGAGCCGCGCCTAGATTGTCGAGGTCTTTCGTCTGACGCTTTCATGGCGGCAACAGCGCAGGAAAGCTCTGCTATGCTTGCCTTGATCTTGGCGACTGTTGCTTGCCAGGGCTGGGGCTCGTGAGGCTCGTGAGATGCCACAGCAGCAATAGAAGGGGCTGAATATTCAGCAGTCCGATCCGCCAGCATGGCAAGACGATCTAGTGGCATGTCGTCAGCAGCTGCAAGAACCATGCGCATTCCTTGCGGAAGTTTTTGAAGAAATAGCTCCCGCAGTATACGGTCTTGGGAATCGGTGGCTTGGAGACCCAGCAACTGTCGCATTTGGTGGAGAAGTTGTGATGGGCGGCGATCTCCTAGCTCCTGGGCTGTCAGAAGTTGCTGGATTCGTGACCGCTCCGATGCCGTTGTTCGTTCGAGCAGAATGCTTTTCAAGTGATCGTATGCGTCCTCACGCGGTGGCTCCGTCAGCACGTCGTCGATTTCGTCGGCCACGTTTGGCGGCAGAGAGGCAACGACGTGGTAGAATCGTGAGAGCTGGGTAGTGATGCGCCGAAGATGAAACTGCGCCTCGACTTGGGTGAACCAAACTCGCGGATTCTTCGGCCAAAAAGGGGGAAGGAGCAAGTTGACTGCTGCGAGATTGGCTTCAGAGGACTGAAGTGACGCGCCGTCGCCAGTGTGAGCGTTGCCTTGATCCATGTTGGTTGAGGCTGCTAGAGAAGGCGACGGGGAGCCTTCAGATTCCGGGTCACCATTTATGGGGAAAAGAACACAACCGAATCGATTGGTGCTCGGGCTCCGACTGCCCGCACGTTTTTAATTTGCGCGTGACCCGCGTCACGGAGCTCGTGACCCGAGCTCCGTGTTGCGGCCATTGTTGCGGGCTCCTACAGTTGTCTTTGAAGAGCCAATTTTTCCTCTCGGGCTTCGGTGGTTTCGCGCAAACGACGTTATCGCTGCACCTCAGTTTTACAATGTCGAGACGTTGTGCATACTGGGGAAACGAAACCATGTGCCCACGCACCATCGTAAGAGCAGTATGTCTCAACAGCGGGCGGCACGTCATTGGAAGTGTGCGATAAGACTTTCCCTCTTATGTAAGAGGGAAAGTGAATGTAACGAGTGAACGAACGGAGCGAAAGAGCACGGCTGGAACTGCATCGTGGCTTCGCGACACCAGTCCGGACATGCACCAAAGCAGTAAATGCTAACACATTTAATTCTCGTTCGCTCGATCATGTTGACAAAGATCCAGGGTCCCACGTGCCACACAGGCGTGTGGGACACTAGCACAAACCACACTCCATGTGTGGTTTGTGCTAATTTTTTTTTTATTGTGCACCGCAGACACTAGCCAGGGCAAAACTGAGCGCACCGCACGGGCGCTACCTTATGTGGCTCTTCCACCATCCGTAATGTCAGTGGGACAGGCGGTGTGCCATCACAACCACCATGCATCACTGGAGGCATTGGGAAAGCCACAGCTGAACAGCAAGGAGGCATAACCTTCTCGAGAGAGGTTCCAAAATGAAGACTCAGAATGCAAATGAGTCATTCGATGCTCAGGACTAGAGAAGGTGCATGAAGATGAATTTGCTGTCTCAAAGAACGGTAGAAACGGCTGTTCTACTCGCAGTGCTCAAGTTCATCTTGGTTCCTAAGGGCTTTGAGGAGATTTTTTCAAAATAGGAAGCGAGCAAGCCGGCCGTGTCGCGGCGATCGCCTATTGTTCGCCGCGACCTAGTGGTATCCGCCGCAGGAGCATTGGGGAGCAATGGCGACGAACAGCACGGCGGACAGTGTCCCCGTCGTGATTACGACTGAATTTAAGGCTGTTACGAATTCAAGGGTAGGCTTGGGTGGGCGACCGCATTCCGCTTCTCGATTCCGGGGAAGTATTTGCTGCATACTTTAGAGTTTGCCGTCGGTGTCGATGCTGTTCCATCGTCGCTAGAATAGAAAAAAGTTAATTGAATTATTCGTCAGCAGCTTAAACAAAGCGCGAACTGGAAGGTAAGAAACGCCACTAACCTGTATGGACGCACAAGTCGCACCCAGGTCGCCCAGTACTCCGCCTCGTACGGCTTCGAAGAAACGATGCAGTACTTCCGGCTGTGCGCGATCTTGCATGCACTGTTGCAGCCGACCACGCAGCAATCGTTGCGGCTTTCTTGGTGCAGAATAGCCATCTCAGAAATTACAGCGCCAACCCACTACACCGCAGAACCAACACAGCGACTGGCAGAAGCTCCCCGATGCAACGAACCTGTTTGCCGCTAGGGGCGCCCTGGTCGGGGCTCGAATTAGATCCGCACGGTTCCTATGGGGATAGAGCTTAGGAGTGACCAGATGCAGTACTCTGATAAGGACGTGGAATCCAATGTTGCAAAAGCGAAGCTGACAGCGCATAGCAACTACAGCAACATAGCAGAAGGCACATGGCATAGTCTTCCATGTTGCCCGCAAACAGGGTGCTGCAGGCAGCCTTCAAGTGGCAAGAACCAGGCATCTGAAGGACAGATCTATTATGTTGGGGCCTTTTAAAAAAAATGCAGATTGTGAGAAATAATGAAGTAAAAGGTCTTAATGTTAAAATTTTTTTTTTTCTCCGTTTCAGTTTTTGTTACAAACTTTGTATGAAGGTTTCACTCGACTGTAAAAGTAATCCTATGCCTTGTTCCAGGCGTTTATGAATTGAAATTTTTTGTGGAATCGGGCTTTCTACTTTATTTGACATTAAAGGGCCCCTAAAAAGAAAAATAATGATTGTTTATACAGTCTTGTTGGGACACGAAAATAAAAAAAATAAAGTTTATGCGAAAAAAAAAATTTTTAAGGCAATATTGATGGCGAAAGATTTATTTGAAATTCTGCGTGCAAAGTCCATGACGCCACGGGTAGGGGTGTGCGAATACCGAGTAGTAGTTTTCGAATCGAATACCGAATCGAATCAAGAAAAAAAAAGCCAAATATCGAATCGACTATCGAATAGTGATTTTATTTGTAGGAATTTTTCGAAGTGTGCTGCGAATAAGATTGTTATATGTGCAGAGTATCCATGGAACAAAAGCTAAAATGTAAAAAAGTTCTGGTGGAAAAAAAAAAAAAAGCAGTTGCTGTTGGACGTTGGGCACTAAAGATCCAATTTTATGGCGCAAACATAATCTGTCTACCCTAAACGTCACAAAAAAAGCAAAGTTACAGCCACACATGCCTTTTTTTCTCGTTAAAAGCACAACCTAACACCGCAATATCTCAGAAAATGGGCATTTTGCGACATTTGGTCTCCATTTTAAGGAAGAAAAAGGGCACCGGTCATTTTATTTCACATAAAGCAACAGGGGCAGTAGAGTGAAGAGGTTCCGAGCTGGCACCGGGACACAGTGCTGAGCGCAAGTTTGTCTGCTTTTTGCACTCGGTTTGCAGTGATGTCATAATGCCGAGCTTCGATTGGCTCTGGTGGAAGTATAGTGGGTGGACCTCAATGCTAGCTGCCTCGAGGTCTACCCACTATCCATCCATTTGGAACCAATCGGAACTTGGCGTTCCGACGTCACTGCAACCCCCGTTCAAGAAGCAGACGACTTGCGCTTCGCACAGATATAATAATACATTCCTATTGTGCCGCCTTCACATTCTCTGCTCAGGCCACAAGTCGACGCAGATGTTTGAGCCGCACCTGCTGTCGATGCCAAACCTCCTGGACGTGCCGGCCGTCAGCCGAACGCCCGGCACGCCGTCGTCGGCGCCGTCGTCTGCACCGCCCGTACACGGCGCTCCTCCGGAAAAAGCAAAAACGCCGGGAGCGGAGACGAAAGTGCCCGCCCTCATTCCGCGCCAACGCCTGCTCTACCTCATCGTCGAGGATAAGACGGTGGGCCTTTCTCTCGGTTGTTTTTAAATTCCTGGCATTTATAGGGCCAGCTTTTGCACGAATTTGTTTCGTCGTATGTCCGACCGCAGTCGAAAGCACGAGCATGTGCGACCACGGGCGCTCGTACTGAAAGCGCAAGTGCCTCGGTCTTCCCTGTAGACAATTGATTTAGCCAGAATTGCAAGCATATGGAGACACGACAAACACCGTGACGTGCTTCTGACGCCGTTGGATTGGTCCGGTCGACTTGTAGCATTGGCAGCTAAACGAAGTATCGTGCTTTTGTGTCTGATCCCAGGATTCCTGGTGCAAAGAACTTTCTCGGCGTGCGCTCGGCAGCGGCGAAGTACGAGTACTATGGGGTCTTCTGCTTATGAGTTTTGTGCTCTAAAGAATGTTCTAAATGCTAACGGGTGAAACCGCGGCCTGTTGCAAACCTTACATACTGCACTGAACGGATAGCCCGTGAATTGGCGCTTGAACTGCCGGTCGCCCGCCGCGTAATAGAAACTGGCTTCCCTCACCCCTCCCTCTTCACCTTGCATACCTGCCACCGTTGCTCCTGCGCCACTTGGGTGGTGCACAAAGCCCACAAGCAAGAGCCTTTATAGGATGTGATATGCATTCCAACTTTGAGAAACCCTCGCCTGAAGTAGTGCTGAAAGGAACAGGACAAAAGAGAGGAACACGGGACAAGCGCGCGCTGTTCCTTTCTTTTCTTTGTTTCTTTCTTTTGCCCCGTACCTTTGACCCATGTTTTTTACGGCGATAGCTGTTGTGGGCTCATCCCACCACTAGAAATGTTGTCCGTTGTAGTTGTAGTCATTGATGTCGTAATTGTAGTTGTACTGTCGAGACCGGTTATAACGAAGTCAACGGGAATCGGAAATCACTTTGCTATATCCGCTATTTCGTTATAACCGACTTCGGTCATAACCAAGTGCAAAAAGGAGTGGGGAATCGTGACCGCTTCGCTGTAACCGCTATTTCCTTATAACCGACTTCGTTATAACCGGCCTCGACAGTAGTTGTCGTAATGGAGCGTAGGGCGACCGTTGTTGACATTGACAAATCCTTGAAAAAGACTGCCCGCTGCCTTCGGGATTCAATCCTAAATCTGCTGCGTGTGAAGCGGGCATGTTACCACTAAGCTATGTCACGACTTTGACAATCCTTTTCATATGCAATATTTGTGGAACAAAGATGTACGCACCAGTCTTGGGTAGTGCCCGTTAGATGGCTACGGTTGCTGTTACGTTGCGATAGAAAATTCTTTGTCATTCTTAATTAATTTTTGTTGAAATTAAAAACGGTGCCTTTTTCACCCTCATTGTGCGAAGAAGTAAAAGTGATAGTCGCAGCACGTTCGCAAGATGCAGAAAAAATGGCTTTGATACATGCTTGAGGAGGTACTTGACGACACCATTTTTGCCCGCATTGCGCAAACGTGCTAGGGCTATCGTTTTTAAGGTCTGTTCACACGATGCATCTTTTAGGCGCGCAACAGTTTCGCGACACTCATGTTTCGCGAAATGTGCTCGTTCACACGTACCGCTTCACGTGCAACAACAACACTCACCGATGCACCGTTTTGAGTGAGCTCCGAATCAGATCGCTATTTATCTGGGGACCTGCTTTGCACATTTTATGCAGTCAATTCACTTTTATTTTTTTTTTCTCACGTACTGCACTACTTGGAGCGATCTTGCGTGTGCGCTAAGCCGATTGAGGCGGCAATCTGTACGTGCAGGACATGTCCCGGCGCCGAGCCCGTACGCAGCCAATTCATTGCCAAAGCTCCTATCAATGCACATGGTATTCATAGAAACGCTACGTGTCCAATCTGGTTACCTCTCGGCGCCCATATCTGCCCCGAGTTTACTGTGCCAACTGTTTCAGAGAGCGCACACGGTTTCACGTTCGCTTGTAAACAAAGCAAACTTGGTTTCAGTTTACTCTATGGTCTCTTATCCAGCGGTATCGTCGCGACAACAACGCTATGAGCACTATTCTAATCTCACCAACTCCCGCTAATTGTCTTCGTCCATCGCTGGATTTTTTTCTGATATGCTACTCACTTTTCCTTCAGTGATGCTTGACATGCTTGCGGAAGCGCCGGCAGTATCCATCGTTCGTGGTTTCGTTTTTTTTTTCGGATTTGGCTCGGCTACAACACCGGCAGTGAAGTGGTCTTCTCAAACAGCTCGCTCCCCCCTCAAAGGCCACGTGAGAGCATTTCTGAGCGGCCATTGGCGGCGCCCTCAGAGTGATTGACAGGACTCGGCAAAGTTTCAGCAAAAGCTCGCTCCAGAAGCGAGGTGTGCGCGCAACATTTTTTTAGACGCGCGTCCTTTTTGGACTTCTCCAGACGGCGCAACCATTTCGCGAAACTACATTTCGCGACACTACATGCGCGAGAAAAATGCATCGTGTGAACGGGCCTTTAGTTCGTCGCACATTAACGAGAAAACGAGCGCCGATGCATGCGAAGGTACAGGTTTCCCTGTCTTGTTGAATGGTGAATGGAGGGGGCAATATTGGCATTTAACGACGAGCAGTTAAGGGGACACATACAAAGAAACGAGGCGAAGCTTTGCGGGGAAGGTGGGTGCAAGGCTGCGAGTTCTGGCAGAGCATATTTTGCATCCTGAGTCTGGTTAGAGAGGTAGAGTTGTTATATTTTAATCAAACACAGTGGAAGTTTTTAAAACCATCCAGCATTACGCGTAGCAGCTGGACACTGCCAAAGTGCGATTTCGTATAATGCGAGTAATGTTCGAAACACCCGTTTTTAAAGTTATCGTTAGCAGACGATGGGGAAGGCACTCCGCTGATGCTTCCTCGTTGTTGCGCCGTTATTGGGGCGACGATATTAGCGGGTTGTCAGGGCTTCCTCTCTTCCCTCTTCATGCAATGCGGCCAGTGGGAACACCCGACTTCTCTCTCCTCGCGCCATAACGGGAGAGAAAAAGGTTTTCTCATCTCCACTGCTACAACAGATGGCAACAAGCGCCGACACCAAAATTCCTGCAAAGTGTCACCCATAAAGCTATCGCTTTAAAACTTTGGCTGGGTGACAAAAAAACAACAGCTATATATGCACACTCGCCAGATAACGGTAATTGCCAAATCTCGTTGCCCGGGTGACTGGCAATGAGATACTTTTTCTTTCTCTCTTGCACAGTTGTGTCGTCTGGTATGCAGATAAGCAGCCCCCAAGCCAAAGCCATTGCTATTACTATACTATGGATTAACACAGGATTGCTTGTTTTTATTATTTTCAACCTTCACCAACTAGCCTAACTTACCACCAAACCTAGAGCTTGTACCCCAGTGGCTCTAAAAAGATCTGATCCCTGCCAATACCAAGCTTGCAGATTGGCCAGGGATTGACGACGCCTGCTTCTGTGTCCATCCAGTTGACCCTGTACCTGTACAACTGGACTTCTGAGCTGGGGCAGGAGCTGTCTCGTCTGCTCCTCCAGCTGGCAGAGTGGCAAGACCTCAGGGGGGACCTGCTGCGGAGCCTGACCTGTCAAAAGATGGGGGTGTTCTTCAACCAACCGCTCGGGCGGCCGCCTCAGCCACGGGCCACGGATTCGGAGCCCTTGTGTCCCAGATCTCAGGTTAGAGAGTCAGGTCCTTACATAATGGACCTTGAAGTTTCGGAAGATCTGCTTGTTATGTCAGGAACTCGCTATAAGTTGTGGGGATTGTGATCCCTCAACATTTTGTCGTGTCAGCGTTTTGGCGCGCCGTGGCGGCCGCGCTGGCGTAGCGAGAGGTGGCACTGCTTACCACTGTGAGTGGCTGCCTCCTCTCCCCCTTTGGGGTGATTTCCGTAACGAACCCCCGCACAAAGGAGATCGACGTGTTGCTCCTTGATTGGCCACTTCGCCCCCGCCGTTATCTTAAAACCAGCGGACGACAGTCTCGCCTCGCTCTTCTTCCTAAGATTCGGCGGCGGCGACAACGGGGAACCTTCCGGCGCACCGGTGAGCGTTTACCCCGTCCTTTGTACATTTGTGAACGACCGTTCGGCCGTGGGCGATCTCCACACCGACGGCGTTCACCAGCTCATAGCCGCTGTGTTCTTGTTATTTGTTTCATTGTAAATAAACAGTTTATCACCGTTACCAACGTGACTGGTGTCTGTTTGCGCTCAACGAGCAGCATGCCACGCGAGTACGAACCCGCTTCGCGGTAGAGCGTCTCGCCGCGAACGTGGTACTCCCAAAGGCAGTGGCCCAAAGGAGAACCACAAAGTGCACTAGTTTTACACATGAAAAGCCTTGCTCTAAATTGTTTGTAAAGCGATAGCTTTACAGGCGACACTTTGCAGAGATTTTGACCTCGTCCCTTGTCGTCGCTGCAACGGAAAAACCCTTCTCTCTACTCTTGGTGCTAGGGCAGGGAAGTAAAGTTTTCCTGTCAGCTACCCCAGCATCCCGCCAGTAACGACGCGACGAAAGGAGAGTTTCCCGTGTCGTCTGCTTAAAAGACTTGTTTTTACAGCGGAGCTGTTAAGGGCTAGGTTCCCCAGGATTGTGTCCGTGTATATCGACACAAACCTACCTGGACAGCTACCACCATCTATAAGTGACGGCGGCAAGTACACAACCAGTATAGTTTCCGCCGTCGCTCGTAGATGGTGGCAACCTTTCCAGCTATAATGGAAGAATGGATAGCTGGGCGCGTTGGTGGGAATTCATTGTAGGAAACAGCGCAAAAAACAGACAACGACGAAGAAGAAGCACGTAATGAGCGCAGCGCCCGTCACGTTTGTTTCTTCGTCCTTGTCTCTTTTGCGCGCTGTTTCCTATGCTCCTACGCCCTTATCAGTTTCGCTTTGGACTTGCGATGGGTTGGCCGCGCGCCCTTTCGGGGAAAGGAGACAGGCTGCGGAAGAAGCAGCGACGTACGCAGCAGCGCGAATGGGTCCGCAACCGCCGCAGAGCTGCTGTCGCCTCGACTTCCACTGCGTGCAGCGCTTCAGACTCCCTTGCCAAAGAGCACCATCGCTCGCCTGGAAAGCCGCCGCGGAGAACAGAACCAGTGATGTAAAGGGCGCCGGCGGGCCAACGCCACGGACGACAGTTGTGCTACGGAGGCGAAGTGCAAGCGCGAGGCCCAGCGACGACTGCACTCCATGCCAGCTGAACAGTTCCCGGGTGCGACAGCGAGGTTCCGGAGGGAGTTCGTAGACAACCCGTTTGGCGTCACGTGCGCCGTGTGCGACCGACTCTGGTTCGGCGGAGACGTATCCACGATCGGCGGCGTGGCAGAAAAGAAGAAGTGGGAATCGGGCGCGTGTGCATTGCAGCAGTGTATCTGGTACAGCTCCGCTGGTCTTCCTTCTTCATGAGAGTGGAAAGGCTGAATGTTTTTTTTAAGCATTACTCGCATTATGCAAAATTCCACTTTTGCAGTATCCAGTTGCTACGCACAATGCTGGATGGTTTTAGAAACCTCCACCGCACTTACCCACTTGCCTCATGGATCACCGAGCACTGGTGGCGGCAGTCAGTGGCGTCCACGATGCCAATCATGTCAGCTATGAGAATTATACATGTCACACCTACGTCCTCGGGTACATGACGGCTCCATTCCACCTGCATCGCGCGACCGTGCTACGGCTATAGTTTCGTTTCTTCACACGCTGTGGGCGAAAACTTTTTGTTCGTATGTGTTTGTTGTAACAGAGGTTTGTTGTAGGAGAAGTTTATGATAACAAAAGTTTGTTGTAACAGAAGTTTGTTGTAACAGAAATTTGTTGTACCAGAACTTTGTTGTAACAGAAGTTTGTTTTAACAGTTGTTAAAGCAAAAAGTTTGTTATAGGTTGGTAAGTGCTATAGTGGGCTGCACAGTAACTAGTTCCCAAAGTATTGTAATATATGTGTTTGCTATAGTATCAGAGATTTGTTATAGGTAGACTAGCATTTCCATCTGGCAAGCCTTGCTTGAAATTCAATATTTCTTCTATATCCGTTATAACAGAGGTTTGTTGCAAGGCTTTAGAGTGATGCACTCCAAATTTTTGAGAAATGTGTGTATCAGGACTGTGTCATAAGTGGACTAGCACTTGCACGTGATGAGCATTGCTCGGAATTTGTTGTTTCCTCATATACGAAGCTTGTCACAAGTGAAGCCGTTCCAAGTGGGCTGCGCAGTGTGTCGGCAGATTTGCATTGCTCTCACCTCTCCACATTCTTTTTCCAGAGTTTCCACAGTCAACTGAGCACGACCGCACCGAGCCAGCCGGCGCCAACGTCAACGCCGAGCAACCTGCTGTCGTTCCTGGATCACGTGATCTCGCGGCACAACCCGCCGAATCGCCACCCAGAGTCGCCGGCGACCCACGCCACCCGCCTGGCGCTGCTGGCCCAGGTGGGGCAGGTGCTGAGGGGGGCCCGGCCCCGCTGCCCCATGCAGCAGGCGTCCTACGGGGCCCTCGACGACCCCGTGACGAGGCACGGGCGCCAGGCACAGGAGCTGCGGGGACTCAGGCGCAGAGGTGGAGATCACCGTTGGATTCGTGCCGAGCTATTCACATAATTTGGATTTCTTGTTGAACAATTTGCATGTTCTTGACTATTTGTCATACAATTTTCATGCCTTGGATTTACCATCTAACAATTTGCATGCTTTCGACTAGCGCATTTACAAGATTGTAAATCGACCCCCCTCTTTACATGTCAGCTAAACAAAACAAACAAAAAATCCTACTTTACGGGTTTATTTTGCAGAAAATATATATTAATTTCTATAGCTGACAAGGTGACAACAGCAGGGTGTGTCTTTCGAAGGCCCAACCTCCAGCGTGCGCTCAATGCTCTCTGGCGTGCTTTGGCTGCGCATGCATGCACGAGGCGCACGAAATGCTGAAGCATTATGAAGGCTAGGAAGCTCGCGCTGGAGGCGAGACAACTGAAGCTCCTCCCTGTCGTTCTCGTTGTCTGCAACTATAAATTACAATTTGTCCACACTGATGCTGTCGTTCCTGTCGTCATCACTGCTGCGTTCCCAAAGCATGCCTAAACGTCGTCCGACGAAATCTCGCATTTTACAAACGATCGCATCTTCTGCGCTTGCTCGATGATCGCGTTGCACGTCACGGGCAAGGACCAATGGCGCATTTCTGCGACTTACGTTGCAAGCTCGACCTCCATGACTCCAGAAAGCATCCAGACCTATTCAGACCTTGACCCACAAAAGATCCTTCGCCGCCACTAGCACACCACACAGTCCAACAGGTCGACCTTGTGTCCAGCAGCTCTTTTTTTTGTTGCTTTTGGACGAAGAATGACCGGACCGCGCATGACAATTCAGAAAGACAGTTGGCACTCACTCCACCATAGTCGCACAATCTCGGCAGTCAATCGAACAACGTGCGACTGTGCATTTTGCGAAAACAAACAGCGGGGAGTGAGATTTCTCCAGCGGCCGTTCCGGTATGGCCCTTACATCAACTGCCACCACCTCCTGGACTCGGCGTGGTGCACTGCGCACCGTTCGCCGCCGTGCATTCATGCTGATTTGCAAATCGCAAAACGTAATTGTGAAATGATCGTACAGAATGGCACAGTGCTGCAGGTACAACTGGCCGAACCTTTAACAAACCGAGGTCTTCCCAATATCACGGCTGTTTGGGCTTCGTCGGCGGTAGAATCCTTTGGTTCTGATTATAAGTCGACCTCCTCAGCTCATTTTTCCAAAAATTTTAAATTGGGTAGACCTACATTTGTGTAAACATGGTAGTTGTCGAATGATTTGTGTGGCTTCTACCTGTTTTTTTTTTTTCATCGCTTGCCGAATTCATTGGCAAGCGATTTGCATGCTTGGGATTCGTCGTCAAACAAATGTGTGCTTTAGATTCATTATTGAATGTTTCGCATGCTTTGGATTTATCGTCATCGATTTGCATAAAGGCCCGTTCACACTCTTGCGACTGCTTGCGACCTCTTAAACCTGGGTTCCTTAAAACTTCTTAAACCAGAGAACACACTGGCGCCATCTATTGGGAAGCAGTGTAAACTCGGCGGTCCGGCATATTTTTTTTTTATTTCTCGCGCAATATCCTTTCTTTTTTGGCTCGAAAAGCTTTTGTATATGTTACAAACGAGCCTTTCTATGGGTATTACGCACATTTGACCTCAGAAATCCCGCAAAACCTTCGCTTTTGTAAAATGCAGTTCTAGGGTCACCGCATAGATGGCGCCACAATGTCAGTGTGTTCCCTCATTCTAGAAACATTTAAGAAGTTGTAAGAGATCGCGTCTCTCTCAGTCGTACTCGGTCGCAAGAGTGTGAACGGGCCTTAAGTTGCATAACTTAAGGAAGCTATGTAATATGGCAGTGGTTCTTGGCCATTGATGTTTCGTGGACCCCTGTGGATTAATGGAGGCAATGGAGGGCCCCGTTCGTGGTGAGAGGAAGGGAAAGGTATTGGTAAATTATGAGAATGATTTAATAAATGGATATAACTAAGGGCTAGTGTGAAGTAGACTTCTCTCATTGACATACCCACCGGAAATGGCACCAGAAAATTTTGAAGTTTTTTTTCGTTCTGAAAAAAGTACAACTTTTATTGCCGGCCTCGACTGATGAGACAGGGCTTTGCAGAGCCCTAGAATGCCCTTACAGACCCCAAAGGGTTCTGGACCCCAATTTGAAAACAAATGTTAGAGGGAATCAGTCTGAGCTAGTTGGTATTCTGTGAGTAAAAAAACCAGTGGTGTGAAGACAAAAAAACTAGTGTTGTGCTCGTTATGGGGATGTTCTGATACGCGAAAAATCCGGCCTAATTTTTGCATGCTGTTGTTTCTTGCAGAACTTGTTGAATTCCAGAAGATCTACAATGACAAAGGAACCTGTGCCAACCTTTTGGTTATGGTGAGTTTTTATCTTCGGCACTAAACTTGGTCCAAGTTATTAAAAGCACTGGCATTGCCCAATGAGTAATTTCAAGCAACATCCTAACTACTACCTCTTTCCCTAGGATAGTGTCATTTCACTTCCAGTTTGGCTCATGGACATAATTGTTAGACTTGGGCCTCGTGCTGAGACTGCTTAAGATTCATACTTTTTGGTGGTGTACAGAAAATAACCTTTTTGAAAAGTCATTTCCCTCAACATGGCATTTTGAGCAAGCTCTAGGTCCCTTTTTAAAATAAAATAAATTGAGTGACGTGCAAATGTTTTTTTATCTTTTCTCTGCAGGAAAAAATGCTGAATCAGGTGAAACGGGAAGCACGTCTGGTGCACTACTGCCTGACTCCGCTCCTGTTCAGCCCCACCTGGCGTCTCAAAGTGGCGCAAGTCAGGGACCACACGCTGGACACCCACGCTTCGATCTTCGACATTGCCGGGCAGCAGGACCCGGCTTTGAACCAGGTTCAGAGTTTCGACCTCCCTTAACTGTACTTATTTCGATGCTGCCGGTCTTATTGTATACAAAATTGTCCGGCAAATCGCTAGGCAAATGTGATGGATATGTGAGACGTTCTAGCATCATGGGATGTCGATTTCTGCGCCAAATTTAGCGGGGAAGCTGAATTTGTGTATAGGTCACGTGACAGCAAGCCTCGTGATGTCATTTTTCCTGCCAAATTTGGGGGGGGGAAACTGAATTGGTCATGAGATCACGTGACGTCAATTTTCCGCTAAATTTAGTGGGTAAACTGAATTTTCGTGTAGGTCCCGTGACACAAAGTCACGTGATGTCATTTTGTCCGCCAAATTTAGTGGGAAAACCGAATTGGCGTTGAGGTCAGGTGCTGTCAATTTTCTCGCTAAATCTAGCAGGGAAACAGAAGTCGTGTGACATCACAGGCCACGGCTTCACGAAATGCGGCTTCATGAAATCCAGAACCATTAGCCAAAAAATGTTTCACACTGAAAACATCCGAATGCTCTTACTTCATTGTGCAGCACATCTCGCGGGGACAGCAACTCGGCACTTGCGTAAGTCGCCATCGTTGCGGCATTCTTGGTGTCGTTTGTGCGCCGCCGCCGAAGGGCGGCGTCCGGCGTTTGCTTTTGGGCAGCGAGTAGAGAGAAAACTCGGAGTCTCGGAGGAGAACACATTTCGAGACTCACGTCTTCGAATGCCCCGTTTGTTCTACGTTCTGAAACTAGTGTGCTTAGAAACACGTGTGTCTACAGACTACAGTCGCTGACCGAATTTTCGGACTTCATGTGGGGGCCTGAAGAAGCATCCGAATAATAAGGCTGTCCCAAAAATCTTGAGATTACAAAACTTGGCTTTATTGAGCCTAGGCTGGCTTAGGAAAGTGTCCTAAGAGTACCTCGCGTCATGTTACGCTTGCTGGCGATCATGTCCGCTTGCATTTGTGTCAGCATCATGTCCTCACCCGCCGGAGGTGCAAGAGGAGGCCATGAGGTCTAAAGCATGCACTGACACGAGGCAAAACGACGAAACCGTGAGACACTTAGGTGCAAGGTTTAGAAGCTGTCAATGGCGCAGTCCACACTTCACAGTGACTTACACAAAAACAGAGCAAAAAGTTGGTTGGAGATGGAAAATTAACCAAAGCAAGAAACCAAGACGATGGTGATGATGCGCTGCAAGAACAAAATACATAGCATGCGCGTCTAGCAGCTTGTTCGGCGGCACTAAAATAGTGCTGTCAAACCTATCCAATCTGTCTGGAATATCAAGCCAAGCCACGGTCAAGCCAGCAAAAAATCCAAGATGGCAGCCTCAGCGGCCGCCACTTGTAGCTATTTTTTTTAGTCTAAAAGATCGAACTTTGGACTGCAAACTATTCGAATGATTGGTGGTTAATATATACTGTTTAAATTGGGTAAGTCATGGATCCTCGTCGATGTCCCAAATAATGAGCAAGTCCGAATTTTCGGCATCCGAAAAATCTGTCGAGGACTGTAGTTGTAGGTCTACGAACGTTTAGTGTGTTTACGATTGTGCCGCACACCTATGAACGCTTTATGCAGCTACGAAATGAATGTGTTGTGCATCTATAAAATGAACCTGTCGTGGAAACACGAATGTGTCATTCAAACACGAACCTACTCCCAACTTTGCAGCGCATGCGGCACAGCTCAGGCGGAAGCCAGAAGGGCGTCGGAGACGTCGGAGCGGGCGGGGCGGCAGGACGCGGGGGCGCTCGGGCCCGCCGCTCGAGCGGTGCGCCAAGCACCACGCCGGCGTCTGGGGGCCAGGGGTCGCCCAAGCACCGGCGGAGCACCAACGAGGAGACATGGCACATGACGGTCTGCGGCCATTACATCCAGGAGTACATCCAGTACCTGCAGAACCTTGGCTTCATGGCGATCCAGACCCGGCACGCGGCCTCCCGCAAGTCCAGGTGAGGTCCGGCCCGGAGCGCAGGTATTCGGAACCCCGCGCCTCCACCGGAACGTCACGAATGAAAATGACGGACGGACGGATGAGTTTAAATTAATATTTAACCCTTTGACGGTCGTCGCCATACATGTTCCAGAGTTTGCGCCTAAACGCAAAACTGTGTGCCCTCCGGGGAGGTGCCGGTGTTTGTTACGTTTTTAACGAGCTATAAACGTTATATTTGTACGGTGTTTTGCTCCACTGCAGCTATTTATAGTTCGGCACACGTGATACGTGCGAGATGGTCGCTTAGCGTGTCCGGAGCGCCAGCTCCTCCAGTTCGGACTTTTAATGCTTCTCGAAAGAAAAGGAAATATAAAGGATGAGAGCTCATCAGTCGATGGAAAAGCTCTGTGAAGTACCTAAAGTTCGGAATCTGGGACCGCCGGAATATCACGAAACCGGATGCACCAAAATAAAACCGAATGGAAGAAAGGTGATAGCATTTGCCTCCTTCAATATTTCTATTCAATGCTTCTCCACCTGGGCAGCTTCTCAACCTGGACAGGTACGTGGACAAAAATCGACCACTAGGAAATGTCTAGAAAGAAAAAAAAAACAAAAAACAAAGCTGTGAAAGGGTTAAAGGGTGGTGCAACAATATTCAATTGGAATGTTTTTCATTTTACACAAGCTTACTGGCACTAGTGGGACTCAAGGTTACTTGCACGCAATGCCACTGGCCAACAAACTCCTTCGTTGGGATGTAATTTCAAGGGCAAAAGGGAGCGTTTTCATTCAATCTCTCCTTTGGAAACTTGTGAAGTAGCTGGGTGGTCGCAGTACCGCCCAATAGCGGTACTGTGAATGGGGCTCATAGATTGGACCCGAGCATTGCGTGGGCACTCGATTTGGGTTTCTGATAATCGATAGCTCGAGAAGCATTTTGGGTAGTGGCCCGTGTTGCTGGCGTTGCAGTGTCGGAGACGATCAGCGGCGGGAAAGAAATGTGCTTCGTGATTGGCCACTCCCTCAATACGGATGCGTACGATACAATACAGGTACCTACATCACAATACGGGACACGTAAAAGTTGAGATATTTGAACTCCAAATACTGGTGCCGGTACACGTAAAAACGGAGCGGTGACGCCGTGACCAAAAGCGGGCATATATACGCGTTCCGGCATACGAATCAGGAAAACGTGTTGCTTTGGTCCATGCTTAACAGACGAGAATGAACTAACTTATCAGAAGAGTAACGATTGGTCGAAGAAAGAGCTTGCTCGGCAGGGCTTGAATCCTAAAGCTTCTCTGCCAACTTTGCCACGCACGCGGTATTTATGAGCGGACGAATCGAATCGCGGTCTTTCTTCCCTAAGCCATATTAAACATTTGTGCTTAGACAGTGCAAGGCCGGCCTGCCTTTGAGGTATGGCGACACTGGTTTGCGCTGTAGATGAAAAAGTTAGCTTATGCAGTACAACTGCTAGCCTGTGAACTTTAACGTGCATCACGGAGTAACGATGCACGACTGCACACCGGTACGATACTCATCCATACCGAAACGGGCGGGGGTGGGGTTTGAACCCAGGGTCTATGCGTTCTGCATTTTGAGCTTTCGCTCATCGTGCTCTGAGCTGCGGCGTGCTAACAATCTCGGCCACCGCTCCCTCCCCTCTTTCTCACCTCCGCTCGCAGCATGGTGTCAATGCGGCGCCGCGAGTCGGACGCCCTCGGCTGCCCGTTGCGCAAGAAGTCGAGCGTGGGTGCGAACGCGCTCTCGCTGGGGGTGCTGCCCCAGCACTGCCTGTTCCAGTGGCACCTGGGAGGGTTGTACTTCTTCGAGGTAGGGTTCTGGGACCCCTACGTCGCGTGCAACCTCTTCCTCGTGGAGCGCCAGCGCCTGCTTCCCGGAGGCACCTCGCTCTACATGTCCCAGGTGAGGGGACGACACTGTTTGCGAGGTTGAGAGTTGAGCTCGTTGGTTGTAGTTGTGTACGATTAGCGGGTCATGTATGTTTCTTCTCATTGTCCTTGTCTTATATAGTGCTGTTTTTCCCGTAATCGTTGACACTGTTTGCGTCGCCGGAGACAGGCTATGCTTTGTTCGCCCCTAAGCCTACACTGCAGTGAGAGTTACGCGCCCGCCGGGCCGATTAGCCGTTTCTCTTTTGTTACCTTACCCTGCTCTCTGCGTGCAGGTATGGGCAAGGAGCATGATCGTGTGTCGAGAGGTACTGTAAAAACCCATGTATTATGCGAACCTGCACGTAATACATAATGCAACCTGAGACCCAACAAGAAAAAGAAGAGTTCTCTTGCGTACGGTGTGACCTGGGAAAACAGTGGTACATAGCTTTTGCCTGCAGCAGCTCATTGTTTACGGCGAGATGGATCTCATTGTTCATTTACAAACCTTGTCGGGTCCAGATCAGAATCGGAGGAACTTTCCTTTTTCCAGTACGCGGAATTTAACAGACTAAGCTCGGGGAGGGGGTGGGGGAAATCTTTGTATTATATTGTCACGGGTGGTGACCAAAAATAACAAATAAACAGGAAGAAATAAACGTTTAATGTGGCGAACTTGTGCCAAAAACAAAGAAGGAAACAGAAGAAAACAGCAGAGCGTCGCGGGCGTCGAAGTCGGCGTGTCAGCAGAATCGAGCGCTGGGGCGAGACTGACTCGACAAGGTCGCGGGCGGCCTCTTATCTAGAGTGCGTCGCTATCTCGAAGATTCGGCGAAAGCGGCTCGAGCGTCGCGTGATCGGGCGAGAATGAACACGCACTTTCTAGAAAACAAAAGCAGGAATAAATGATAGAAGTTACATGCGGTACATGAATAAACGAGAACTTTCTGGAGGTCCGTGACCGAGCGTTGCTTTCTCAGCCCTGGGCGCGGCATTATCCCCCCCTTTAAAAGTGCATCGTCCCGATGCAGCACAAAAACGGAAAACAAAAAACAAAAGGACAGCAGAATTGCTAGCCGGAGTTCACAGTCCACAGTTCACTCGTCGACGAGAGTGGAGAGTCCTATCGTTCGTAATACGGCTTCAGCCGGACGACATGCACCACCTCGGGTCGCGGCTGACGTCTTGCAGATGGGCGCGTTCCGTCGGTAGAACTTCGTAGTTCAGATCGCCGAGGCGTCGGATGATCTTGTAGGGCCCAAAGTAGCGCTTCAGGAGTTTTTCGCTGAGACCGCGACGACGAATTGGTGTCCAAACCCATACCCGGTCTCCGGGTTGAAAGTGGACGTCCCGGCGACGAAGGTTGTACCGGCGTGCGTCGACTCGCTGTTGGTCTTGAATCTTGACTCTTGCCAGTTGACGAGCTTCCTCCGCGCGCTGGGAGATGAGTTGGGCGTCGTCGTTGACATCACCGGTTGGCACGTGAGGCAGCATGGCGTCGAGCGTCGTGGTAACCGTCCGGCCGTGTACCAGTTGGAACGGTGTCATTCCCGTGGTTTCTTGAACCGCTGTGTTGTAGGCAAACGTGACGTACGGCAGCACCTCGTCCCATGTCTTGTGCTCTACGTCGACGTACATGGAAATCATGTCGGCGATGGTTTTGTTGAGTCTTTCCGTCAGCCCGTTGGTCTGCGGGTGGTACGCCGTAGTGCGACGATGGCTGGTGTGGCTGAGACGAAGGACTTCTTGCGTCAGCTGGGCCATGAAGGATGACCCGCGATCTGTAATCAGTACTTCAGGTGCGCCGTGTCGAAGGAGAATGGACTCGACGAAAAATTTGGCGACTTCCACGGCTGTTCCCGATGGCAGGGCTTTCGTCTCGGCGTATCGTGTAAGATAATCGGTCGCGACGATAATCCACCGGTTTCCTTGAGTCGATGTTGGGAACGGCCCAAGCAAATCCATTCCGACTTGCTGGAAAGGCCTAGTCGGGGCAGGTATCGGCTGCAGGAGTCCTGCTGGCTTCGTCGGAGGCCTCTTACGTCGTTGGCACTCATGGCATGACCGTGTGTACAGGTGGACTGTTTTCGGGAGTCTCGGCCAGTAGTACTTGTCACGAATCCGGGCGAGCGTCCTGCTGTATCCAAGGTGTCCAGCCGTCGGGTCGTCATGGCATGCTTGAAAGATTTCTTCTCGCAGGCTGGCCGGAACAACCAGCAGCCAAGCAGGGTTGCTCGTTCCGAAGTTCTTCTTGAAGAGCACACCTCGCCGCAGAACGAAGCTTGACAAGTCTCGGGCCAAGACTCGCGGAACTGAACTTCCTTGGCCTTCGAGGTGTTCGATCACGGCGCGAAGTTCCGGGTCGTCTCGTTGAAGTGCTCCCATGTCGGCATCTGTCACTGCACCGAGAAAACGGGCGTCGTCGTCGTCGTCAGTGCTTTCGGGAGGAGATTCGACTGGGGCCCTAGACAAACAGTCGGCGTCGTTATGCTTGCGGCCAGACTTATGCACAATGGTCACGTCGAATTCTTGCAATCGCAGACTCCAGCGAGCGATGCGTCCTGACGGGTCCTTGAGGTTGGCGAGCCAACAGAGAGCGTGGTGGTCCGTGACAACGCGAAACGGGATCCCGTACAGATACGGGCGGAACTTGGTTAAAGCCCAGATGACAGCGAGACATTCCTTGTCGGTCGTCGAGTAATTTTTCTCTGCCTTGGACAGTGCCCGGCTTGCGTAAGCGATCACCCTCTCTTCTCCGTCTTGTCTTTGGACGAGTACCGCGCCGAGTCCGGCGTTGCTAGCGTCCGTGTGAACTTCCGTTTCCGCTGATGGATCGAAGTGTCCGAGGATAGGGGGCGACTGGAGTCTTTCCCTCAGTTCGTTGAACGCTTGTTCTTGCTCCTCCCCCCACTGGAAGTTCACGTCGTCCTTGGTCAGATGCGTGAGCGGTGCAGAAATCTTGGCAAAATCGCGAACAAAACGCCTGTAGTAAGCGCACAGTCCAAGAAATCTTCTTACGGCTTTCTTGTCTGATGGCTTGGGAAATTCTGCAACAGCAGATGTCTTGGAAGGATCAGGGCTTACACCCTGAGCACTCACGACATGGCCCAGGAATTTGAGCTCGCCGTAAGCGAACCGGCATTTTGACGGCTTTAGTGTCAGTCCAGCATTCTGGATAGCCTGTAGCACGGCTCGCAAACGTCTCAGGTGCTCGTCGAAGTCGCTTGCGAATACCACGACGTCGTCGAGATAGACGAGGCAGCTTTGCCATTTCAAGCCGGAAAGAACGGTGTCCATTACGCGCTGGAACGTCGCCGGTGCTGTGCACAGTCCGAACGGCATCACTTTAAATTCGTACAGTCCGTCCGGCGTGACGAAGGCAGTCTTCTCACGATCCCGTTCGTCGACCTCGATCTGCCAGTACCCACTCTTCAGGTCCATCGACGAAAAGTATCGGGCATGGCGCAGCCGGTCCAGAGTGTCGTCGATGCGTGGCAGCGGGTAGACGTCCTTTTTCGTTACGGCGTTTAGTCGGCGATAGTCCACGCAGAACCGAAGAGTCCCGTCTTTCTTTTTCACCAGGACTACCGGTGAAGCCCACGGGCTGCTTGAGGGCTGGACAATGTCGTCATCGAGCATTTCTTGGACCTGCTTCTGGATGACTTCTCTTTCTTTCACGGAAACACGGTACGGCGACCGATGCACAGGAAGCGCGTTGTCTTCAGTGACAATTCGATGTTTCGCAACGGTCGTTTGGCGCACCTTTGACGACGTGGAGAAGCACTCATTGAACTCGGCGAGAAGGTCACTGAGTTGTCGTCGTTGTGGGGTAGGCAGGGTTGGGTCGATGTCAAACTGCGAAGGCGGCGTTGTCTTAGGTGGCCACGAAGAGAGGTCTTCTGATATTCCGGCGATTGCGGCTGCGTCCGGGAGTTCCTCGGCGTGGCCCACGGCGGTGCCTCTCGTGAGGTGCTGGGCCTCCTGTCGGAAGTTCGTTACGAGTGCGACAGTAGTGCGTCCGTCTTGGAGCTCCATGACGCCTCTTGCGATGCCGATCCCTCTTCCTAGAAGCAACTGGAGGCTTCCTTCGAGCAAAACGTCGCCACAGAAAGTCTCATCGACCCCGACGGGTACGAAAACACTTGACTGCGGCGGTAGGTTCACGTGGTTTGCGAGGACTCGTACCGCGGATGACGTCACTTTGGGGTCCTCCTGTGGTGGAGCAGGTTTTCGAAGCGTCAGCCGGTTTGCCCCGAGGTCGATGACGGCGCCATACTCGCAGAGAAAGTCCATTCCGAGGATAACGTCCCTTGAACAGTCTTGCAGAACGACGAACTTCACAGGGCACGTCTCACCGTGGATCTCGACGCGAGCAGTGCATCTCCCGACTGGTGTGATGAGGTGCCCTCCGGCGGTTCGTATTTGTGGTCCATCCCACGGCGTGGTGACTTTTCGAAGGCGGCGGGAGAGCCTCCCACTCAAGACCGAGTAGTCTGCTCCGGTGTCCACGAGTGCTGATGCGTCGTGCCCGTCAATGACGACGTTTAGGTTATTGGACACCGCTGCCGGGGCGTCGTTTTGGTCTCTGGTAGCGTTCGAGTGGGGGCCCTCCAACGTTCGTGGAGGATCTTGGCGTCGGTCGTCTTCGGCAACTCCACCTCCAGGGGTTGCCGCGCCTAGTTTCCCCGGCGTGGAGCGAGGGGCGACAGGCTTTCACGTCGGGGTCGGTGCATCGGCGAAGCTGGACGTCGTGGTGAAGGCGATCGGAACTCTCGGCGGGACGCAGGCTCGGGGGACTGGGGTCGTCGCAGATACTCGTCGATCTCCCGAGGGCGTTCACCATACCGGGGGCGCGGGTCGTTTGGGTGGAATCCGCGCAGCCCGAGTCGTCGGTATGGGCATCGGCGGTACACATGGTCAGCTTCCCCGCAGTGGTAACACAGCGGGCGTCGGTCGGCCGTCCTCCAGACGTCTGTCTTCCTCGGCGCAGGTTGCTCTGGGTGAACGTGCCCTTGATCTTCCTGTCGTCGGGGGTAATGCGGCGTTGGGGCGTCTCTTCGGGGTGGCGACGTGGCTTGGCGGGGGGCTTGCGGCGGTCGTCGGACCATCGCGGCGTAGCTCAACATGGGTTCCTCCGGTGCCACCGTGGTGACGGGAACCTCTGGTTGGAGCGCCCGATGCACTTCTTCTCGGACAGCCTCGGCGATGGAAAGGGCTGGCGGACGGTTGGTAGTTGGCAGCAACTTTCGCAGTTCCTCCCGGACAACCTCTCGGATCATTTCCCGGATGTCCGGTGTATCCGGAGTGTTTTCGCCGTTAAGCGGTGCGGGTGCACCGACGCCTGGATGTCGCTGGAAGTGGGAAGCACGTGCCTGAAGCGCGCGCTCGATGTTGGTTGCTTCGGCGATGAAAGCTTCGACGGTGGTAGGCGGGCTCCGCACAAGGCCACCGAAGATGTTCTCCTTGACGCCGCGCATCAAGACTCGCAGCTTTTTCTCTTCAGGAGCGATTGGGTCGGCGCGATTCATGAGGTGGAGAACGTCTTCGACGAAGCTTGTGACGCTCTCGGTCGGCCCTTGGGTTCTCGCTCGCAGGAGTTCTTCGGCACGCTGCCGTCGGTGCTGGTTGGCAAATGTCCGTCGCAGCTCGGCCTGGAATTCTTCCCACGACGCAATGGACGCTTCGTGGTTCTCGAACCAGGTGCGTGCCGTGCCTTCCAGAGCAAAGTAGACGTTCTGAAGGCACTGCTCCGGTGTCCATCGGTTATGGCGGGCCACTCTTTCGTAACGTTGTAGCCAATCTTCAACGTCCTCGTGGATCTCCCCGGTGAAAGGCGTCGGAGTCCGGGGTGCGACGGGCAAGTATACGACGGCAGAAGCGGCCGGGATCTCCGACTGGTTGGCCATCGCCGTCGTCTTGGGCCTCGGCTTGTCCGGCAGCAGACCGTACTCAGGATCCTCTCCCTTTATGCGGCGGCTGGTCCGAGGTTCAGGTTCCGCGGTGAATGGTCTTCTCACCAAGCCGGGAATCGGACTTGTGCTGCGGGCCCTTGGAGGGGAACGCTGGACGGGCATGCGGTACCCAGCACCTCCACCAAAATGTCACGGGTGGTGACCAAAAATAACAAATAAACAGGAAGAAATAAACGTTTAATGTGGCGAACTTGTGCCAAAAACAAAGAAGGAAACAGAAGAAAACAGCAGAGCGTCGCGGGCGTCGAAGTCGGCGTGTCAGCAGAATCGAGCGCTGGGGCGAGACTGACTCGACAAGGTCGCGGGCGGCCTCTTATCTAGAGTGCGTCGCTATCTCGAAGATTCGGCGAAAGCGGCTCGAGCGTCGCGTGATCGGGCGAGAATGAACACGCACTTTCTAGAAAACAAAAGCAGGAATAAATGATAGAAGTTACATGCGGTACATGAATAAACGAGAACTTTCTGGAGGTCCGTGACCGAGCGTTGCTTTCTCAGCCCTGGGCGCGGCAATATGTGGGCTTTTACGGTATATGAATGACCGGTTCAATGAGCGTGTAGCTTTCACCGCACTCTCAGCTTGGGGACGAACATAGCATAGTAAAGCTGTGTAGGGTGGCATGTGCTTGGCGTTTGGATAGGCTCTGAAGGCGTTTGCGTTTGCGCTTGACCAAGTGCATTGTGTCTGCTTGTGATCGTTTTCAACGATACTGGCACCATCTATCGTGTGGCCTTGGAACACCTCTGATGTGCGTCTAACCAGACTAAAGGTATCTCAGTAGCTGCGGCGAGGTCATGTGTACGCACTATCCGTGACAGATGGTCACTTGTAATGTTGTCAGAATAGTTTCAAGCCTACGGTGAAAGAATAGTGCATAAAAGATGAGAAAATATCTATGGAGTGCTTCTTCTAAGGCTGCAAATAAATTTTTGAGAAAAAGGACACTGGAAATAGAGAACTGATTCCTTCGGGATCAGTTCCACCTCGGCTGACGTCAGGTGGAGAGCGTAAAGTGGTTATTGGTGAGTTCATTACTTAAAGGGGCACTCAATTGCTTTTTGTAGGAGCTTGGTTTGATCGTCAATAAAAATGACCGGTTGTAGATGGCAAGATGTCCTAGTAAATTCACTGTAATCAAAATACACGGGCGGTATTTTCTTTTGGGAGGGAGGGGGGGTATCTCTGGGTCCCCACCACCCCCATAATAAGATTTGGCCAATGAAAATAGGTAATTGCGTGGAGATTTCATACGTTACTAATATTGCTCTTTTAGGCACGTTTGCATTATATTTTGACAAAAACCGTCAAATCTTCGGGTGTAGGAGACGTGCTACGGCAATTATTGTTTGAAAACACCATCTGACGGCGCCTCCCAGTGTCCGCTCCGAGGTGCAGAAACTTGGGCGTGTCACACTCTTTGATTAGATTTTTATTAGTGAAATCGGCCGCCCAGGAACGTAATTTTGGGGTTTTTAGGATGTCTAGACCCCCTAGATTTGAGTTACCACCAGAAATAGACGATCTTACAAATCCACTTGGGTGCCCTTTTAAAATCCCCTCATTAACTTTTTAAATATTCGCATCAGCTGGCACATTGCAATGAGAAATTTGTTTCGCGTCGTTACAATTTGGCATAGCAGTTGTTAAAATTCAAACTACTATACTCCGTGTCACAAGTTGTGTGCAGTACAGGCGAAGGCAACGCCAGGCGAGGGGAGAAAGGGCAAGCACTAGAAAGGCTGTAAAGGAGGAAAGAAACCTTCTCTCTTCTCTAACGTTCCTAGTGCTCTTCCTTTCTTTCTTTGCCCTCCATTGCCCTTTTCTCCCATCCCGCTTTCCTAGTGCTTGCCCTTTCTCCCTTCGCCTGGCTCTGCCTTCGCCTGCACTGCACATAACTGGTGACACGGAGTTTAGATTCTGCTCCACACTATGCACTGCTCAGAACCGCGTTGGTGAAGCCAAGCGAGCCGAAGGGTCACACACGGAGCGCGAATGCAGGTGACCTCCGAGTTCATCGAGGACATGGACAAGATCCGGGTGAACATGCACATGCACTCGTTCACGTACGACTACCACCTGCGCACAATCCACTCGTACGTGTCGGGGCAGCAGCTGCTCTTCAAGCACGGCTACCACCTGACCAGCTTCCTGGACGACTTCGTCAAGTACTACCAGAAGTCGCCCAACTACGCCCGCAACCTCATCCACGCCGGTGAGTCCGAGGCGCCGCCTCACTTTCGGCGTACCGGTACAGTTACGGTGCCCGAAGTGCGTCTCTGGCTGGTGCAAGTGGTCCCTCGCTTACATACGACATCAGCTAAGTTCCATGCGGTCGCCTTTCGCAACCCTCGCGTCGTCACGGCGGTGGTGGACGCGGCAGACGCCCGTCCCGCTGCATGTCGCACTGCGACTCGACAATCCAGGAAAGCTTCGGCAGCCAGGAGTTGGGACGCCACGACCTCGGCGACACCCGCATTCTCGCATGCTTTTTTTCCAGAACATCTACGTTCAACTAATACCGGGATTGCGACTTCCGACAACGTGACACTTCAGCTTTCGTGATGCCGTTTTTTGCCGCTTGGGGACCGCTTTCGATGCGTAGGCTAGATAAGACGTTAAACACACCTGTCGAGATGTGTTCCGGGCACCATGATACGGCCAGCAGGTGTGCCTGCTTTTTGTTTGGAGGTACACCGACGTCTCGGCGACAAGCCGTGATTAGAGGATAAAATGGGTAGATGCAAAGGTGCCCTTGTTTACGAGCCACATCGGCGGCTCCGAGGCAGGACGCTGGCCTACAGATCCCCGTTTGGTGGGTTTAAACCGCGCCCGGGGTGGTTGCAATCTGACGCGGGCTCGTTGCAGAGAAGGCACCGTGTTACCAATATTTCGGTTCAACGTTTAAAGGTCCTCAAGTGGTTGAAACTAGTCCTCAGTCCTCTGCCGGGGCATGCCAGACACCCTTCGTTTGTTTGGCAGGGAAAACACTCAGACTTGACTTTGCTTTGCCTTTGTGTCTATGCATTGTATCTGCCAATCGTAGCGAGCAAGTTTGCCATCTTTTTTGCGCCAAGGGTGCAGCAATAGATTCTAGCGTCGTCTCTTAGTTTTAGCAATGACTGCCTTGCCTTTTTTACGGCTTTCAAAAATCCACTGGTCCCTTGCAAACGACGACTTAGTCTTCGAGAAGAGAGTTGAAGTATTTAAAAAGAGTATGTTGCTTTTGTCAGTGAGGAACCACCAGATGTCCTACAGTGAACGAAGGGCTCATATTCAAGAAGTTTGCTACCCACCCAGGAGATTCTGCTGTGACAGAACTTTGTCAAACACGTCTTCGCTTCCTCTTACCTTTTCATGCCTCTTTTCTAATGCGTGGAGAGACACCTCATTTTTTGACGCCTCCGCTCTCGCACGCGAAGGGACGCTTTTTGATCAAGTTGCTCGCCACTTGGTTTGGTGAGTTCGTAGCGGTGGCGATTCAAAGTCTCACATTTTCGTCACGAAAACACTTCGCTGTTTGTAGGTATTGGACGGAATAGCAGAAGAACCCAATGCGGGCACGAGCGGGACATCATGCCACCCTTTATTTAGCTGGCTGCTAGAGTAAATGCACCGAATGTGCAGGCACTGGAGAAAATATTTTGCACTTGTTGTTTTGGCAGTGTCCATACACGTACCACTGTTGGCATCTCGTTATACTTCTTTTCACTTTAAGTTCGACCGCAACCGACATTACGATCCGAGTGAGCCAATCAGGCAGCACGAAAAGTGCATTGTCTCAGCGCTTGTTTTCTTTGTCGATTTGCAAGCACCGTTAAACCAATCGTGCACTGAAAAAGCGCAGGCTCGTGGCGCTTTCACTGTGCAGGATTGATTTAATCAGCGATGGCAGACGCACAAAGTCGACGAGCACCATGACGGCGCACTCTTGGCTTTCATTTATTGGTTCAGCCGGATAAGGTGAAGCGGAGCAGAGTTTCCACAGATTGTACGATGTTGGCTTCTAAAGCGGCCCCACTTCTGCGCATTCTTCCGTAGTCCCATTTTCGCGCAGCTGCACGTTTAGTTGAGACGTGTGTTTCATTTCTTTTTCCTCGGTGCGGCGCAGGATCGGTAGTGATTCCCAGTCTGAACGTGGCCCCAAACCAGCTGTACAACTACATCATTGGCCACAACAAGCTGTACGGGATGAAGGTGATTCGCATGGTGCCCGTCGTGTGTGACGACAGCACGGATCTGGTGAGCTCTTGTGGAGTTTTTTGTTGGCATTCATTTGTGTGCCGTAATTGCGGGAAATTCTAATTTGTAGAGCCTGTGCTGCTCCATTGTGCTGCTCGAAATATAAGTTTGACAGCACAGTATGTAAGTAAATCTGTTTGAATAATTCAACATCTTTTTGTATGCGGTTTCATATTTTATTAGAATATATAGCAGTGCAGTAGTGTCAAAATGAATTTATTTACAATATTAAGGTGAGAGTTATGTCATAAGTTGAAACCAGTGTTGCCTAATGCTGGTGATGGGAACAGCATGGTGTATCGGAACTGTGTTGCATTTGAATAAAAGAGCAGTGCCAATAAGCTGAATCGAGTACTACACGACTTGAAGCACTGTGAGGCTTCAATTACGCTGCTCAAGGTTTCTTTGTAACACTTTACCACTATTTAGGAAAGGTACCTCTTTCAGCCTAGAAATTAGTGGCTCTTTCCGGTTTGTCCATGTAAGGTTTGAGTAGTAAAACCCAAGGATGGAACAATGGTTTTCAGTCAATTGTACAATAGGTGGTATTCACTGGACACCATATTTGAGTGCACTCTTCATTGGCCATGCTCGGAACGAGCTCACTCTTATAGGTTTTCCAAAAACTGGCAATCTCAGTGGTCTGGAATGCACGTTGCAAAAGCACCGTGGAAGTCGACCGTCAGCATGTGCCGAGCAGTTATGCACTCTGGTATGGACAACAGTGAATACCCCCATACTCCGTTCATTCCTAATATGACAGTTCGTAGGGAGCTACGTAGTCACCGGAACAGTCAACCGCCTTGCTTTCGCCACCCGAGCCTGCTCTCTGCACATGGGTATGGGCGGGAGTGTGATAATGTTCCAAAAGACAGACGTACGACTGGTCTAACGAGCACGTAGCTTCCACCACACTGTTTGTTTTGGCTAAAGTTCTTTAGCTGGACTGACAAAGGATCTGTCAGATTCCGAAAAGTTTCCTGATTCTGCGATTGCCACCAAGAATCCTAATCATTTAAGGGCAACATTGTTTCGATTGGATAAACTAAGTGTACACCATTCTAGCCCACTTCTCATCCTTTTTTGTAGGATTACTGACTTGTAACTTTTTTTTATTTACTTCGCTCTTTCCTTGTTTGAGACATTTGGGGGCAAAACCACTGCAGGACACGGAGTATGCGCTGGTGGAGATCTCGAACAAGAAGGTGAGCTACCGGGACGCCAACGACGTCCAGCAGACGGACAACTTCTTTGTGGGCATCCTGACCATCCACGACACCTCGCCCGCCTTCGTGGAGCACGGTGTGCTGGCACTGGGCTTTTACATCTTGCTCACGAGCCAGCGGGAGCTCTTCCCCAAGTTCACCAGTGCGGGCCCGCTGGCCTCCTCGGCCTCGCTCGAGGGGCAGGACGAGAACGCCGAGGGCTGCTTCCGGCCCGTCCGTGCGTCCACCTTGACGGCAGGCGGCTCGCAGCCGGCCAGTGGCGGTCCCTCCCGTCGCAGCTCACAGGTCGGTGGCGCTTCTCAATGTTGCCTTACTAAGATGACAAATTAGGCCAGTTGGTAAACGTTGTACGGGGTGTCCCCCCCCAAAAAAGTGTGTTTTTTTAGAGCGCAGCTCTTAGGCGCCCGTTTCCGGCATAAGCGGCGTCGCCATCGCCGTCGGCGTAACTGCGCGATGCATGATGGGTAAATTTCTCTGCTGGAAAACTTTCCCTGCTAGATCTAGCGGAAAATTTTTCCCCCTTACATCTAGGGGAAAATTGTCCCCGCTAAATCTAGCGAAAAATTTCCCCCGCTAAATCTAGCGGGAAAACTTCCCCGCTACATCTAGCGGAAAATTTTCCCCTTAATGACTTCCCCACTACATCTAGCGGAAAATTTTCCCCTTAATGGGAGGCGAGCAGGAAACGGCTTTAATTTTTTTAATAGCAAAAATAAACTATACTTTGTCGATTGCTCAGTTTTCAGCCAGATGTGGCACTGGTGGTTCGAACCATACACGAAAGTCTCAGAACGAACTGTTATCTTATTCAAAACTTATAAGCGATTTTCTTAAAGTTTTTATGGTAGAAGGTGAAACACGAAGCTCGGGAATACATGGGGCAGATTGCTGCAAGCTACCGAGAACGGGCTTGATTCTTCTTTTTTTGGCATCTTCCCACTCAAGAAGCATTTTCTTTTTAGCAGGAAGCAGTTCGTCGTCTTCTGTATCTAACAGCGCTGCTGTCATAACCGCATATTGCCGTTAGATGTACACCTCCATTTATGTATTCTCGTCAGCGTGCACAGAGCCCTGTTGTCGAGGAAGCAACTGCTAGATGCGTCTGATAACACTGACATCCCTCTCGACTCCCTGCCATTTGTGTGAATGCTGAATTTGGGGAGGGAGTTCCACTGGTTTCGCAATCACTAACGTCACGCATGTCCCTCTCCGAAAGGCGTCCCCCATGTGAATACCCCTTAATGTTTGCTATAGCTTCGACCAAGTGCCGGAATTGCGGCATCCAACAGCATGGCACTTTTGATGCATCGCGGGGATAGAACGGGAAACACATCAGTCAAAGATGCGCTCCTGGTGTCAAGCACATTGTTGCTCCCAAAGGAATCAAGACCAGCCGTGCTTGTCAGCACACAAGATAGGATTCTTCATTCCCGTGGGAGCACCAGCAGCGCCGACCACTGCACATGCGAACTTGCACGTGCCTTGCTTAGCGAACGTGCTCACAATGCCTCGTGTCGCACCAGGCACCAAAGTTGCAACAGGAAACCCCTTTGCCTTCCACTTTTCTTGAAAGTGATGCCACGTGTCCCCGGCATCTTTTCTTGGCTTATCTATTTTTGTTTGTACATACTATGCAAGGGCGAATAGAGGATTTTGGGTCTGAATCGAATTCGAAGCGAATAGTGATTTTGGTCGAACAATTTCTGATCGAATAGTTTGAATAGTACAAGGAAAGAATACCGCGAGATATGTTTAAACTATAGTTTTATATTTGCCTTTATTTGGTATTAGATATACTGTAATTGTTTATTTCAAGTGTATCGAGTTCGGTAGCACGAAAGGGTCGAAACGGTTGGAAGCTTGCGCCACCTGGCCGTTAATTCAAGCCAGAATAACTGAAACCTGGTTATATCGAACTCGCAAAAAAAGTCTACCAGTTCGATATAGCGGGTAATTCGGTATAAAAGTTTTAATGAATTTGGCTCTCAAAAATCCACTTTTTGCTGAAATATTACACAATGAAGTAATCTTGCATCTTCTGCTGCTTTTTCTTCATTGCATCCGCGATAACACTATTTTTCTACGCTATCGACGGACTCCAAAATGCTGAAACCGCTGCCTTCTACATTCGTGCATTAGTGCCGAACTATGCCAAGAGCACGGAGCACGTCTAGCGGGAGCACCTCTTCCTGCAGAGCGCCGTTTTGCTCTGCAAGTTGGCTTACCCCTAAAAAAGGTGGCTGCATTGGGGGAAGCCAACTAACAAAGCAAGCTGGCTTCTTTTTTTTTTTTTGGCGGTTGTGCCTTGAGAAAAAATAGGGAATGGTATTATACTGTTTTTCTTCTCCACTACGGTATCCGTCAAGAAAACGCCGCAGCTGCGCATGCGCGCCGCCAGCCTTATCTGCACACTTCAATATCTTGTACGGAGCGCTATCCGGGTACTCTGCGGGCAGCGGAAACGGTCTACTACAATTCCCCAATAATAATTTCTTTTGCGGACGGAACGGGGAGAAGGAGCACGGAGCACCCTCTCTCCGCTCTCTCCGCAAAAGATATATTTTCTTTTCTTCTAAGCAATCAATGCAGTCGCCCGGAAAAAAAAAAAAAAAAGAGCCAGCGTTTTTTGCAAGCTGGCTTTACCCCAATGCGGCCGCCCGCATTGGGGGAAAGCCAGCTTGCAGAGCAAAACAGCGCTCTTGGCAGTTCGATATATAGGTAGCGGCTGCTAATTTTGTTTGATGCAACCGTAGTTTTTGCTATATATTATCACTATAACATTACTGTGCACCAAAATTGTTCGATATAAGGAATAATTCGATGTAAACGGGTTTGATATAGTCGGGTTTGACTGTATTTAGAAAGGTTGAATAATTCTATATTGTCAAATAATTCAATATTGTTGAATAATTCGATTTTGTCGAATACTTAAATTCAAATCGAAGTGAATGCCGAATAGAACAGAATTCGGTTGGCTATTCGTAATAACCGAATATTCGCCCATCCCTAATACATACTGTGACCTCATTTGAGGTTGCAGTATGTATAAGAAATACTACTTGAGAAAACTTCGAGGGACCTCAGGAAAAAGTTATTGGAAGTTCACTCAACTGGATGCCTTGGGCACAATAGGCTTTTGCCGAGGAATTTTGCGAAAGTTTGTTCATCAGATCGTTTTAGTAGTGTTTCACTGTAAATAGTGCCCTTGGTGCCATGAAGTTATAGAGAATTTAGAGTGACGAAAGTCTTTTGTTCAGCACGTAACGCTTGAAAGCATGTGTTCCCATTTCAAAGTCTGCTTCTTTTCCGAACTGAGGACATTATGGCGGGCTCTATTGTTTCAGACGTCATTTGTTGCTCCGGACCGCAGCCGTCTGCCGCAGCTTGTGGTGTCACCGGAGGACACCAACGTCACCATCGGCATTCCGTCTGTGTCATCGTCTGGATCCATTTCCAGCAGTACTGCTGGGGGAACCAGGTTCGTCTTGCAAACAGTTTGCTTTTGTTATTAAAGCGGTAGCCTTATCGGCCCAACCACGTTCAAGGTCACATACCGTGACCTTGAACGTGGCTGAAGGGCAAGGTCACGTAAGCGCCAGTTGTGCAAGCTCCGTTTGTGAAAGCGCCGGTAGCTGAAGCTGACATGACCCCACATCCTTGATGTCATCCTCGCCGTCGTCCTCGACACCGCCCTTGACGCCGCCCTTGACGACGTCCTTGATATGTGCACAGCATTTTAAAACCATTTCATCCCTGTATCATTTCCTTTCCTAATTGTTTTCACTAACAATGTTCCTGTAAAGCTACCGCACCTCATCGCGTCTGGTAAAATGAATGTGTGTGTAATTTTATTTTAATTTATTTTAGCTTTCTTCTGGCCATGGTCAGTCATGGTCAGTCAATGCTAGGCACAGCAAGCAAGCGACGGCATCATCTGCTTTCGGCTGAGTGCATTGTGTGCTTTCGACTAAAGCATTGTCGGCTTGCTGCACTTGTCGTATGGTGCCTGGATTTCAAAATACAGTGTAGACCGCATATAACGTATGTCGCGGGAGTCGCGAAAATCCGCACTATAAGCGGTACCGCGCTATAACCAAAACATCAGTTTTTCAGGCCAAAATACATGCCATGAGACAACTTACCTTTGTAAAACAATTTATTTTATGTTAGATGAAAAATAAAGCTTAGTTTGAGGAAAGTCTTTATTTCACCAGACTAGTACACTTCTCTCTCAAGTGTGTCACACATTTTGAAAGAAATAAGCGACTTTCGCCTGGCGCAGCCTTTTAACGGCGTCACAAGTTGCGGACGGACGTTGCGAGCGTTCAGGATTGCTAATCCTAATCACTTTTCTCCGGTGATGAAAACGCGTGAAAATTCGCATCCTTTATACGGTACGCGCCAGTAATACCTTCAACTTGAGCACAGGCGCGAAATGCTCCAAATAAGAAATCCGGGCGATGTTTGAAAACACAAATGCTTAGAAAGCACAACTGTAGTCGAAGTAAACAAACACGACAACACGGGCCTTTCTGCCGTCTTGAGAGTGCCGCCACAACATTGCCGCACGAGTAGGTGGATCTTCCCTTCTAGTACGTGCTGGGTTATCATAGCGACAGACAACGAAAATTCACTTTCAAGGATAGCGCTTTTACGCGGAACGAGGAGCGACGATCACAACCGACGCCATGTTTGCGGATAGAAGAAGCCGGCCCGCGACCGGCATGCAACACGCGCAAACACTTCTCCTCGACCTGCGATTGGTCTGTTGTTGCGGTTGTTTCCAATGCAGCGGAGGGAAGCACGCACTTGAACGACACGTGCATGCGTCCCTCCGTCGCTATGGCAACTGAAGCCTCCCTCTTCGCTTCTCCCCGCTTCTTCGAGCAACCTCCTTACCCCGCGAGTGCCGCTCGCGGCTAGGGCCGTTATCTAGTGTCGCGCAGGGAAGCGTGCGGTCGGCGTTCTGTTCCAGAAATCGCACTACAACTGGTATTTCCCTTCGCGCACTTGCTTTTGAGGCGGTATGTAATTACATGGAGTTCTATGGGAGGCGAACCAGTGGTTTAAAAAAGCCGCGTTATACCCGGTCCTGCACTATAAGCTGTCACGTTGTAAGTGGTCTATACTGTATTTCCTACTGCTTGATCGGGCTCACGTGGTTTATTAGCCGCGTCTGCAATACAAGCTGCGAGGAGGATGCGGAACCGTGAACCGCGTGCAAGCGTCTCCAGGATTGGCCCGGTCTCTTCCCCCGTTGTCCTCATCACTACCTGGCAACTTACAGACGAGGAGTCAAATAGTGTGTGAGGTGCCTGCCATTAAATTGCAAATGCTCTTTGTGGTTTGAGTTTCTTTTAAATCGAGGCTCCCTGTTTAAAAAAAGTGCTGGTTTAATTTTTTTTTTCTTCAGGAAGACAGTTGTGCTTTGAAAGTGTACCCCACACCACACCACTAAAATTTACCTTGGAAGAAAATTTAAGATGCATGTGTAGGCGGCAATTTTGTGGGCGATTTTAGAGCAAGCTCCAATACTGATAACACGTTTGGCTTTAGTGCACTACCTAGTGAAGACACCGATACAGTGAAATGTTTGCTTGTTAAAACATTTTTTTTTACTATATGAGAGGTTTACTGTAAGGTTCTGTGGCTACATTAAATATGGAAAGCTTTTTTTTTTATTGATCAATTACGATATGCAATTTTCAAGAAAAAGTTATGAAAAATGGATGGTTGTTTTTTTGTTTGGCTGTTTGATACGAGGCATTCTTTCGTCCCCTCCACCAGGTCCAGGAAAGGGTCGTTCAGGGGAATCTGCGAGGAGGAGGTGGCTTACCTGGGCTACTACAGTTCCCACGAGACTCTAATGCAAAAGGTGAAGATGCTGTGCCATCCTTTCATGAAAAATGCCCAAATAAGGGCAAAACACACTAAAGAAACATAGTCGATTGAGCCAAAACACCCTCTGTGCCAGGGCACCATACCCATCTTTTTGCGTTAGGGGTGTGCAAATATTCCAGATTTCGAATACGAATCGAATATTTTTCTTTCGATTCGAATTCGATTTCAAAATTCTATATTCGGAAATTTCCAAATATTTGGTTATGGCCAAATAATCGAGCAAATAGCAAATAATCCGCGTGTGGTACATTCCCTGAACATTCAGAGCTTAGTTGTGTTTAGTTGCCTCAAATTGCTCGCATAGGCCCCTTTCGAAAATCACTTGCTCATCGTTAAAATGTATGAAGTACTGCTCAGTGGCAGAGCAAGCGACACCACAGAATGTAAGCTTCGAAGCTAGAAATTAAGAGTGATTTGTATAGTTTTTAGGGTTCCAACATTGCTGGTGTCTTTTGTGTCTGCAGTTGTGCAGGGATTCCACAGCTTCATTGTAGCCATTTTTTTGTAAAGCCTTGCCGTTTACGTTTTATGCACAAACTGCGCGTTTGCACGATTCAGGTAGCTTTAGCTCCCAGATATTCAAAAAGTAAATTGCTGCCAATTCTACCGTGCAGATAAAATAATGAAGGTTGAACACATACCTTAGAGAACAGATTTTATGAAACGCATGCCAACACAAAAATAAATACCATGCACTCGTCGCCGTTGTCGGAGTCCGACGATGGTTCTTCGCTGACCACAGAGGTAATCTTTGCTTTCATCTAAAGCGTTTTAGATGCCATGCAATTGGGGCCTTCGGGAGGGTCGTCTTCCAGAGAACGCTTTGCGAGCCGCTGGGATTGTGAGGCCATGCAGTACTGATCTCAGGCACTTAGCCAGGGCGGGGGGGGCTGGGCCTGGCCTATGGGGCCCGGCCCTCCCCCCCACCAAAATCTTTCATTTTGCTGGGACCTCCTTTACCCCCTCCCCCCATACGGCATTTTGTCATGGACAACCCCTCCCCCCCCCCCCCCAAAAAAAAAAAAAATTCCTGGCTACGTGCTTGACTGATCTGTTGTTATCTTTTCCCACCAGCGTGATGATATAGATACCAAAATGGCAAACGTAAACAAACGGTCACGATGGCAATGGGGCTAGCCACCTTATACCGAGTAGTGCGTTTTTTTTTTTTTTTTTTTTTCAAGTTTCGATTTTTTTGTTTGGATTGCAAAGCGCATGTATATTTGGGCACCGACTTTGCTGAAAAAAAAAAGGGAACATTAGAATCCTGCAAATGCGGTATGTCTTAGCTCACGACAAAGGAGCAGTTTTCGTTTTTTGTTTTGCCAAGCCTGCATTCTGGCTGCAGGGGCAGTTGTCTTTTCGAAAAGGGTGTGCTTATAGCATGTGGAACGATTAATTTTCTTGCATTATTATTTGCAATAATTTCAATATAGCTGATATCAAACTTGCTGGCTAGTCAAGGGCAAATTCAGTTATTTTCTTTAAAATGGTCACTACCAGTAGTTTGTGTGACAACTTTACTGGTTGAATTTTCGCATGCTGTCAGACAAGTGCAACTTTGTAGATTCTTAATTTTGTCAGTTTGTATAACTTACAAGTTGCACTTCTTGCCTGCCTTCATGTGCATTTGACAGGTGACTACTAGTCAATGTAGAATAGCTGCATTACCAGTTGAATTTGTTAACATCATTTTTGGTTTTGAAGGTAATAAATGAAGTATTTACATATTTTCGTGCCATTTCTTAGTGGTGCGCACATATTCCAAACATAATCAAAGTTCGAAGTCTTCTTTTTTTTTAAACTCGTATTCGATTCGTATTAAAAAATTTCAATATTTCACACCCCTAGTATTCGTAGCAAAACGTGCTCATCATGTCTCAGTTAGCCACCTCAATGGCTTTAAAGCAAAATGCTACTGTCACTAAGAAGATGTGAACGGCAAAGAGAAGCTTCAGTTCTCCTGCGAGCGTGAGCTTCCTACCTTTGACAGTGCTTCGGTGTGTCTCGTGCTCCGAGCACGCATGCGCAGCCAGACCCCCGCCGAAGGCATGAAGCTCGTGCTAGAAGCTGGGCATTCGAAAGACGTGTTGTGCCATTCTCGCTCTGCCGGCGACTCGAGCCAACGAATCCCCGGTTGGCGGGTTCGAATCCCGGTCGAGGCGCCTGCAATCCGACCACGGCCTATTGCGAAGAAGGCGCCGCTCAACCAAAGTTTCAGTCGCACGTGGAAAGATCCCCGGGCAATCGGAACGAATCCTCGGTCCTTCGCTGGGGCGTGCCGGATGCCCTTCATCAGTTTAGCACGTAAAACACCCGAAGGTTTCGCGTCCCAGGTGATGTCGGAGCAGGCGGCGTCCGTTGCGGAGCACCTGAGGGCGGTGGTGGCGAAGGCGTCCCTGCACTGCCGCCGAGACTACTTGTGGAAGTGCCTCACCTGCCGCCACAAGGCCTCCGACGACACCAGCGCCGGCACCAGGGAGAACGTGGTGGGTGTCACGGCTCGGCAGTCGTGCGGCAGTTTTACCACGGGGCCTGCATTGCGTCTCCGATCGGTGTGTTTACTGCATCCTGAAAAAGCGGTCCCTCGATTTCTGCCCATTGGCGTGACCGAAGTGTCAGAGCCAATGCCGGCTGCGGCCGGTGGTGTCGCAGCGGCGGTGGCAGAGGTGTCAAAGACCCATCCTGCCACAGGTCGCTTTCCGGCTTGACGGTTCGTGGAAGCTTCGGCAGCCAGGAGTTGGGACGACGCGACGCCAGCGACACTCGCATTCGCTCTTGCTCTATGCCGGAACTTCGACACCCAACCGTCGGGACCGCGACATCCGACGCCGTGATGCTCCGGCTTTTGTGCCGTCATTTGTTGCCACTTTGGGACCACTTTTGACGTACGGGTGCAGCGGGACCCTAAACACACCAGCCGGGGACGCGTTACAGGCACTGTAGTAGTTTTACACCTGTTGTCTGGGGGAAAAAGTTTACGGTGTTTATTGCACGCCGCAAAAATATTGAACGCTCTGTTTCCTCCCAGCCATACTCCCGCTAGCTGTCCGGACCAGGTGCCATAGTTTCAGAGCTCGCTGGTGACCGACTCAAAAGTTATTAACGATTTGGGGAAATGTTCAGAAAGAAAACGGGGCCCTTTCTCGGTGGCCGCCGTTGTTCACCTCCATGTTCCTTACTTACACGGTTGTGGTTCAACCTATAATCGTAACCAAAGCATGCACCGCCGACAAAGATGGAAGAAGCGCGATATCAAGAACACCTCAGTTTATTACGAGAGTTCGGCCGGCCGTACCTGTAGCAGGGCTCCATTCGTTGTACGAGATCTATCTATCTTTGTCTGCGCGAACGAGCATCGCAATAACGGTGATAGTGGTTCGCCAATCAGCCATCGAGGGGCACAGATCGGACGGCAACTTAGCTGCAGCGTTCGGCCGGGAATCGCGTCCAATAGGCGAGGACTCGCGTTCCATGCAAATGCCGTCGGGTTACTCTAACGACAGTCTTCTGCGACGGGACCGCAAAACCGGAAACGGTTTGGTGCCAGCTGCATAACGCGTTCTGCGTTTAAACTTGGAGCCTGGAGGCATGCAAATAGCCTTTGGTTTCGACCTGTCACATTGTTACAGTTTATTGCAAGTGCCTGGTTTGACGGTTTTTGTTTCTTTCGCGTCGCCAGGTACGCCCGACCCTCAGCTACACGGAGCTGACGGAGCTCCTGGGCTATGTGGAGATGGCCCCCTTGGACGAGGCAGACCCCCAGCTGAAACCCCTGATGTCGATGCACTTTGCCTGGTACCAGGGGCTCCTCAGGGTCCTGGTGGTGCGGTACAGCGAGAACCACTCACTCTTCACCAGTCCTGACGGGTCCATACACCACCTGGTGAGTCGCTGGAGACTTCTGCTGTACACTACCGCAGCAGCGGAAGAGGTGACCGCACACTCCAGTACCAGTGAAGAACATCTCTTTTATCTCAGGCTTAATCTTGGGCATTATCTTGGGCTTTATATCAGGCTTTATCTCAAGCGACAGAAGGTGACGAAGAGCAGGTGGTGTGGAGCGCATTCACATGACCCTCAGTGCAATTGTGATTGACCGAACGTGCTGTGCCTCGACCGCGACTATTATTAGCAAAAGGGCGAGGGTTTCGCTGCCATACTTGCCCTCTCCCGGCGCCAAAGCCACCTGCGATAAATGTGTGCATGCTCCGTTTGTTTTTGGCAAAACAAACCCAGTACAGCTGATGCCGTAAAATCCTCTAAAATTTTCGGGGGACACCCTGCTGATCGTTCAGCGAGTCATTTTCCAAGAGTCTCATGTCACTAAGCTAGGTGCGCAGTGTCTTCGTCATGTGCACTTCGCTAGCCTGTCGATCTACCTTTTTGTATATTTTTTCGCATGGTTTGTGATGAGACCTTGTTTATGTTGGTATGAAGTTCTTTTATTCGTCTAAGATGCCTCAATATGAGGGCATTTGTTTCTTTTGGTCATTGTCTCGTATGTTATGAAATGGCATATTGTTTTTTGTTATCTTTTGTTATTCGTGCATGCTGTCTTATGCATGCCGTGTATGCTTGCTGTGCTCATTGCCCCACACTGTTGATCTTCAATGTACCTTTGTTATCAATAAATAAATAAATGAATAAAAAGCCGGAAGGTACGACCCTCGGTGAGAGTCACTGTTACTAGAAATATTTCTTCTTTTCCTTTTCACAGGTCGTCATGTCACCGACCTGCGCAGATTCCTTCATGCTGCTGACCACAAATGCCCAAACCAGCCGGGCGGTGAGTGATGAGCTTGTCTACCACAGTTTTCGACAGCTTTAAGAAATGCAGGATGGGGCTGGTCCCGGTATATTATTGGTATCGCCCCGCAGTCATTGAGGTCAAGGCGTCTGCCGACCACGTCACCGAGGGACTAGTCGCAAAGCAAGAAGCATGGACCTAACAAGACACGCTCTGTATTTTTGAAGGGACTTTGACTGGCTATTTACGCTCGCCGAGGTTTTTTTAATTGGAACATGACTTTTAAGAACCTAACTACACAGAACACAATTTGCAGCTTGAAATTCGTTTGCTTTTCACTCTGAAAACAGTCGGTCGAGAATCGGCCGGTTTCGGTCGCTCTCTCTTTTATGGTGAAGTGGCGTTCAAACTGTGTGCACCAAATATGTTCGATGTCGTGGGTCATCCAAGGTGGGGTTCTCAAACTTTACTCATATTAGTGCAAAGTTTGAAATTGCTTTTTCTGCAACACCAACTAAATCTATGGCTCAGTCCGTGGAAGGTTAAAGGGCAACTCCGGCCGAAACTCAAAATGAAATAAATTACTGGTATTGCTGTAGTGACACAAAATACGACCCCAGCCAAAATATTACGTCCGTGGGACGCCGCATTCTCAACTAATGCTGATAATAAAAATGCGACCCGCCGCGAGCCACTACTCCTTAGCGGGCGGACAGCGAATTTCCGATCGCTAAAGCAACATTGGGCCGTGACGGCAGAATCGTTCTCTTTTTTTCCTCCGGTCCGGGCGTTGCGCGGAGTGCGCTTGTTTGAGCCGCTACCACTGCTACTTTGGCTTGTGATTGGCGTGTTTAGCCATTGCTTTTATCTGTAGCCCGTGTAGCTTCGGTATGGCCTTTTGTTTATTTGCTTGTGAGGACTCCAAGACATTTTTTAGCGAGCGACTCGGTGCACCCAATACTGCCCAGCTGTTCCTCGAAAGATGCCGAGTGCAACTTGTAGCACTGTGGGCTGCTCAAACAACATGCCGCGCCACACGGAGGTGCTTTTTCACAAGTTTCCAACGCACCGGAAATTGGAGAAGGTGTGGATGAACGCTGCTTGACGAGTGGACTTTGAACTTCGGCTTTTACGCGCCAGAAGAAAAAAAACCCCAAAAAACAGACTTGTACAGCCCAGCACACGTGTGTTCGGGCGCCGCGGCCTGCGCCGGAGAGCCTCAAAGCTTCGTGTCTGGGACTGACCCGCAGCGCAAAAGTGAGAGGGCCCCCAGTACTGTACGTCACAGGCAGCACGGCATAGAGCAACGCCGCTCCATCTGCGGAGCCCCGATGACAATTTAGGCCTAGCGACGAGTACGGAAGACCGCACACACGGCGACAGCCGCCAAGTACGGCACCGAACGAGTTCACTCGTTTTCCAGTCGCTAGCTTTTGGGTATACAAGCGACGAGTACGGCATAGCGCATGCACGGCGGTGGGTGCCGAGTATGGCACTGTACAAGTTCACGGGTTTTCCAGTTGCTAGCTTTTGGGTATACGCAGTTAACTCTTGCTACATATGCTGGATAACTACCACGTATACAGAATTAAAACAAAATCAGCTTGCCTCCTATCTTTAGACGGCTAGCGCAAACAGAGGTAGGTGCCACTCGGTCTGAGTACTCGTTCAACGAGAACGATCCTGACGTCACGTTCACATAGCGGCTGATTTCCAGTGTTGCCGGGGCCTCGAGCGGCTAGTTTTGGTTTTGTTGGCAGCGCCCCAAACAAAACTTTGAGGCGTCGATATCTTTAAAACTGCGCGCATTAACGAGAAAAAAATTACACCTTGCAATTCAGGGACGCTGACTGCCCTAATAACAGTCATAATACCAAAATTGAAAGTATGGACCGGAGTTGCCCTTTAAACTAGGGAGACTGCGATCTGCGTGCTCGCAAAACCCACGAGACCAACTCGTGGAACCCAGTCTGAGAACCCCTGATCTAAGGCACAAATTTAATGGTAAATAACCCTCAGCCTTTCCGCTCTGGTGAAGAAAAACGAGCAGTGGAGCTCTAGCCTCTGTTCTCGGTGGTGGCTTTCCAGGCGAGCGATCTGCTCTTCTTTTGCAAGGGAATCTTAAGCGCTCGACGCAGTGGAACTTTAGGCGATAGCGGCCTCGCGGCGGTTGCGGAACCATTCACGCTGCTGCGCACGTCGCCACTCGTTCCGTTCCCACTCTTCTTCCTCCGAAGGAATGTTGCCGCCACCTATGAGCGACGGCAGCTACGAGTTGTCTGGTTGCCTTGGCTGGAAAGGTTGCCGCGATCAATGAGCGACGGCGGCAAGCAGACAAGTGGCAAACACAACACTCTGGACAGCTACCGCCATCTATGAGTGAAGGCGGCAACCAGAGTGGTGTGTCGACACTTGTTTGGTACCTGACACGATCCTGAAGAAACCAACCCTTAACAGCTCCGCTGTAAAAAAAAAAAAAAAAGTCAATCGGAAAAAAAAGAAAATATTGCACAGATTACAGGAGGCGTGTGTGCTCGTCATTCTCATTGTGGCGATGTACCGCGGGCTGGACAACGCAGTGGTGGTGCACGACAAACCTACGTTGTGAAGGACGTGGGGCGCACTTCGGAGCCGTCGTTAGTAGTGCCGGCCAATCGATCTTCAAGCGCAGAACGTGTCGAGTGGAAGGTATAGAAGTGCGAAACGATCGCACGACAGACAGTGCACGCAACTTCGTCACATGCTTCGCATGCCTGAGGGTCGGAGAAGAAAAACCGCGGTCGGGTCTATCCACGGGACTTGCAGCCACGAGTTTGCGTGCTCGTGTTTAATTTTCGAGCAGTTTAGTTGTTTTTTTTTTGGCTTAATTATGCGTGATATACGTGACTCTGCAGAAAAATATTGCTTGGGTAGTCTCCTCATACCGTATTCAATCGCCTGGCTAAATATTTAAAAAAAAAAACATTTTTGGGGTGTTGCAGTGTCTCTTGAAGCATTCACTGACTATGGTCTTTCTTGTTTGGCACCTGGAGATCACATTTCACCCGCGTCGTTTGTGCAGGAGCTGCGATTGGTGCACCGGGATGCCGCCTCGACAGAGAGAACCGGTGCAGACAAGTCCAGCTCCAGTCTTTCAACACTGCACTCCTTGGTGGAAGAGTTTGTCAGCACGTGCAGTTTCCACCTCTGGGCAGGCCTGCTGTGCTGATGCATTGTTCGAGGTCTCCAAACTGAACACCCGTCAAAGCTCTTGACCGAGTCAAAAACGACGTGTCTGTGGCTGTTTGTATTTCTGTGACACCCAGTGACCTGTGCGTTTGTGCGATGGAACTGCAACGATCATCAGGGGAGTGGTGGGAAGAAATCACTCATAGTGAATGCGACTGGTTAATTTACATTTTGATTTGCGCTACACATTTGTCACCCTCCGACATCCCGTGCCATTGCTTGTAAGCAAGCAAAAAGTCGGGGATGTGTTGCATGGGGTCATTTTTACGAGTTTCTTTAAGGGATATGTTTTACATGGATTCTGAAGAAACAAGTTGCCGGATTTAAGTGGCAGTGCAATAGTGTTGTATATAGAAAGGATCATGTTAAAAGTGTACAGGATTTGTTGTGTGTGTGCATCTTTTCCAGCGAGTTTTGAAGTGTATTATAAATAAAAACGTTGCAAGGAACCCTAGATGCCTCCTGTTTAATTCACGAACTAAATAAAAAAAAAAAAAAGATTGCATAGAAGTTTAATTATTTCGTCATCAGAAGAGAAAAAAAAAAAAAAAAAGTAACATTGATGAATCCAGTGGATGAATCGAGGTAATTATTGCGCCCGTGGCAACAACAAATGGCGAGAGGTAAAATCCGTGCTCTTTTATATGCTTCCGTTCTTGCGCTAATTATTTTTTATTTTTAGAAAGCTGAACACCATGTCCCTCATATTATTATTTTTTTTTTTTTTTTTATTATGAGGGTTTTATCGTGACAAAAGCTCCAATTACAGTTTCGTTTTGTCCGAGCCGACACCTAGGTGGCGACAGAGCTGGGCTGGCTGGGCTGCGATCATCTGATATAAGCATATAAGTTCTGCGGCTGTGAACTGCAGCTTGCGTAGACGAGATCGGGCTTGGTGCTTACGTGTTGTTAAGTGTTTTTGTTTTGCTTTTCCATGGATTGTTGAAGTGCCCGAGACGTATGAAAGATGTTCGTCAAGTGTACTAGGAACGCGTTCGCGCTGCTGGCGATTTCGGTCGCACTATGCTGCTCTGAGCCAGTCTCCCCAACGCCATCCGCTGAGGCGGACTCCTGCGAAGGTGCCTGCAACCGGACGTATCCGGAACACACGTACCCCGACGTAAGTACAGACGGCGCCGAAAGTTACGAGTACGTCCACACGCGACGACGAACCTCCGATATCAAACGTTGGGGCTGTTTCCGTTGTGTTTCAGTTGTCCTTGCTCGCACCTCAACGCTCGCGCTCACGCTCTTTATTTCCGATTTTCAAACGAGGTCATATGTGAACCTTTTCGTTTTGTTTTATGGTTTAAAACCGCGATGCCTTTTCGTGCCCACTAATTATCGACACGCACCGGTGACTACGCAGCTAGAACTAAACAGAAGAAATCTGAAAAAAGCACTGTCGTAACAAAGAGTGGTACGGAATCCACTGCACTTCTGCGACTTCTCGAAAACGGATTTAGTCACTACGGAGCGACGCAGCAAGCTGCAGAAACAGTCGGGTCTTTAAAAGAATTAAAAAAAGAAAAGATCGCTGGAAACATCTGTGTTCGCTTTCCGCTTTCTGTTGCAGGCGAAGCACCTCAACGCTTGCAAAAAAGGATGCAGTCTCTTCACAGAGTGCGGCTACAACGCCGTAGAAAACGACTGGAATGCCACACTCAAGGCCTGCCTTAATGGTAATCCCTTTGCTCAAGCTCTTTTTTTTTATTATTTATTTATTTTTATTTAGAAATACCGATGTTCGCGAGGATGTCGCTATAAAATGGGATCGCCTTGCCCGTACTGGCTGACACAGCTGGTGCATTTGTTTTTGTTCTTGTTTTGCAAACATAAGGTCACGTGAGCTTTGTTTTCACGAATAGTCGGTGCTTCCGCGCCTCAAAAAATGCGCGTAACATTTTTTTTTTTTTTGTAGTTCAGGGTTTAATGTGTATAAGGAATTTAACATTTTGTTAGAATTTTGGTAAGGGTAGAGGACAGTGAAGATCGTTTATGATGTGAACCTGCAGCTGCCATACATGTTCGACTGCGACTCATCGGTTAAACAGATGTTGCAGCCAATGGGCGCGTTCAGTAGCGCCTCCCTTGCCTCCGGACGGAGTGCCTCGAGTCGGAGTCATCGGAGCGCCTACTGAACGGCAAAAAAACCCGCGGCTCCAAACCTGCTTCTACGCAACTTCCGCTTCCTCCCCTGTGCCAGACGGTCTCCGAAAAAACTGGAAGCAGACGATGGCGAGCACGATCGCTTTTATTTGACGCCGGTATTGAAGAAGTCTTTACAAGGTCGTTAAAGAAAAAGCGGGTGATTGTACACATCAGCGCTGCTGTTCGAAGCGATGCAACGCGATCGAGCCCTTCGCTTGGCGGTGCAAAGTCAGCTACTGTTATAAAACCCGACAAAAATCGTCGTCAGTACACGCAAAATACCGAGCTCAGCGAATCTACCCCGCCGGTTGCGATACTTTTATACGGTCATAGGTTTGTTCTGCCCTTCGTAACGAACTTCCTATAAAATGTATTTGTATACAGACGGGAAGTTCGGCCGCGCTCGGCGATCAAGGTTTTGTCGGCCGAAGCGAGCCTCAGCCAACGTGCACCCCGATTTAGCTACGCAAACAAAACATTAATCGGTATCATGCTCTGCGTGAGTGTCCAACCGGCTTCCAAAGTCGCGTTGATACCCTGTTTTGCTCTGTTGAGCGCGGACAGGACTATCGTCAATATTACCGAGTTTCCGTGCAACGGCGATCAAGAGACGGCGCGTCAAATGAACGTTTGCGTTGTTTATTAGCATATTCAAACCAAACAAAATACGGTCCAATGCATTTTCCGAAAGAGCCTTACCTCAAAAAGATATTCGAACGCGTTATTCGTCTTACCTTGAGCACTTTTCATTAACAAAAGCGAGCAAACCGCGCACCCGCTACAGAACCGAAGCAGCTTATCCCGCCATATTGTTTGTTTCTTACTCTTTTAGCGCCGGAAATCGTCACCAGTCAGGAAATGACGTCATTTTAGCTCCTTTGACTCTACGTGCACCGTCTCCGGACTCGGTGCTTCGGAGCTTGACTCCGAAGCCCCGGAGTTACGTGCACCGGAAGTGACTTTTGGCCGTCCAGTGGAAGGAGTCAGTGACTCCTTGACTCCGGGGCCGCTACTGAACGCGCCCAATGGCAATGAACAAATACCGTTTCTGGGCATTGTTCTCGGGTTTGCTTGATAAGGCCGCGGGTCTTCCTTTTTTGGTTGTCGTTGGTTAAACCTTCGTACATGGAATTCTTTTTCTCCTGCAAGATAAGCCGGCACGAACATCAATAACAAAAAGTTTTGCTTTTATTTTAGAAGCCGGCAAAAGCTTTTTTTTACAATTTGGAGAGCCGTGAAGCTGCTAAATATTTTTCAGAAAAGCAAAATAAATTGAAACTTTGCTTTGTTAAAATGAAAAAAAAAAAAAAAAATAGAAGCCTGTTCTGGGCAATCTACGCCGCCACTTCGCAGACAATGCACACAGTGCTGCATAAATTGCCCAGAACAGGTTTGTTTTTGTTTTTTTGAACGGCGCAAATGCGTTCCTTGATTTTTTTTTTTTTTTACTGTAATATTACAGTGCAGTACACTGAGAACTCGGTTTTTATGGGCCGTCTAAAGTGTCTTAAAAGGATTAGTTCACATGCTCTGGTAGAAAGCAAATAGTAATAAAATAATTATTACATGACAATACATGGCTTGTGCATGACTTCATCTTGCCATACCAGTGGTCAGTCCTACTTGTTCTAGCTGAGAACAACAAATTCCGTAATACGAATTATGTGCTGTAGAAGGTATGCATGCAGCAGCAGGTTTCTTCACAATGGCTGTTGACGTGACATCAGTGCAAGCTATGTACAGAAAAGGAGTCCCCAAAAATATTTTTTTTTTTTTACAACCCAAAAATAAACTATGCGTCTCCAGACACTTGGTCTCCAAGCAAATGTAGTGCCAGAGGTCTGGACCAGATGCCAAAGTTCTGGAGCTTTCCGTCACTTGGTTCAAAAGTCTATTTTTGGAAATTTTCAATGGTGAAACGGCGGCCGACGAGCTGAATGGCGTCTGCTACTGGAAACAGGCTCTGTTTTCGCATTGGAACTTACAAAATATCACTTGTTAATTTTTTTTTTTTTTTGGGGGGGGGGGGGTTGTGTTGTTTATTAGTATTGTTGTAAAAACTTAGCTAGAAACATACTAAGGCTATCCAGCTCAGATGTGCGAGAGCCAATCTGTCTGGTAGCTGAAGTGCAAACTACAGAAATTGGGTTTGGGAACTGTAAAAGCGTAGAAATCTGGGCAAGTCGGTGGTGAAACGTGCGATAGGAGTCGCACATATTTTATACGATAGCAGCATTGCTGCACATAGCATTGAGACTGCCTCCACATGTTGAATTGGTGGATGGATAAGTTAGTGCCACGTTGAGCCTGAGTCATCATAATGTTTCATTGCCTCGCAGCAAATTGCGTGATAAACTTCCGAGAAAAAAATAAGAGCTATCATGTTTTGTGCGAAGCATACAAAGGGCAGTTGCCGATGGCTTGGCTACGAACAGATGTTCGGATGTAAATTTTACTCTGTGGTTAACATTTGGTTTTGCAGCTGTATGCGCTGCAGCACTGGTTCCGTCTGGTATCACGGTCCCAGCTGTGGCGAACTAGGATTGAAGCTTGCTTTCCATGCATTTAAATTTGTGATCTCGTAGCCTTGCCAAGACAAAAGCGGTCCTGGATTGTCGAAGGTTCGCGAAACATGTATCCGACATTGGATCCCATGACTTTGGCTTATTTCTTTATTTTGGCTTCGACTCAATATTGTCAAAGGCAAACCTTTGTGCTTAGTCGCTGCTGAAGTGGTTGCTCGTTCGAAAGCTACAGCTTAAGACTATCGTCTGCCTTTTCATTTGTCGTCTTTTGCCGCTGTGGCAGGTCGTAGGGTCACCTCCGTTGTGTTGCACAACATTCGCTTATGGGTGATTCCACGAGAGATTGAACCTGCATGTCCACTCAACTTTTTTATTTTTTCTGTTTCTTTTTTTTGTTAATGTGATGCACACACAAATGAATCACACAGAACAACTTTATATGTCAAAAAAGCGTTTTCACTACGAGAAAAAAAAAATGTTTTAAGATAGTACGATGACCCCGCTCCCACCGCGGACTGCAGTAGTTGCTAACTTTGCGGTCCTGTGAAAGGCAGGCGAAACCTAGTACGCCAAAAATGTTTCCCGTTTCATATGATGCACTAAAGTTTAAGTGAACTGCATGCAGTTTTCATGTGCTCTATAAACTAAAAAAAAAAAAAAAAATTCCAAACTTTAGATTAGGTGAAACAAATACACCAACTTTGAGGCCTTCTACCTTAATACGTATGCCATTAACGATAACCCTTATGTCCCAGCGACACGTGGAGGCCT